GCGCGTGGTGAGAGAGAGAGAGAGAGTGGTGGGACGGAGCTTGTGGAATACAAATCCCGGTTCCGTCGCGGATTAAAACGCATTAAACTTCGAAAACATCCATAAACGAAATACCAACTAGTTTTTTCATATAAAAGTTTTGCTTTGTTAAAATTCTGGCAAAGTAGCGCAAGTTTACACAGATTGTAAACATATGTTAATATTCTGCAACTATAAGCGCGGCAAATTCCACACATAAAATTCAACATAAGTAAAATAACATAAGACTGCGACGTACCGGCCATTGTGAGCGCTGCGCCATGAGAGGTAGCTAAGATAGTTTATCTCAACGCGAACGATAACTCGCGATATAAAAACGCGCGGGTATAATGAACGTCATTTCGCATGCGTTCACCAACCGTAATCGTAGTTTCTACCGAAGTGAGAAAAGTTAGAAGTAAATGGAACAGATGGATGTAACGCATCTTAAAATTTTAACGCAGTTTAATGTAAAAATAAAACGTATTAAAAACTTATTTAAAACGTATTTAAAACTTTTGTTTTAAATCGTCAACATCGTACGTGTGAAATAAATTTACGAGGCGTTAATTTTCGAAGCACTATAATTTTACTGACTAAATTTGTTGTAAGTGTTTGTTGTATCATCAATGATGTGACTCGCAAAAACAGTATATTACATTTAATAAATAAAATAAACTGTATTTCAATTATATTGTATGCTCTGACAAAGATCTTGGTCTCAGTGTCGTCGCACGATCAATTTTCACATAAATTGCCGTTACCGGATAAACGTCAGATTAAGACTGTAGGCACGGAACTGCCACTTACTCGACGTACATATTCTGACAAGGGCAGGCAAAGGTTAAGACCAAGATTTAGCTTGTTTATGTAGACATAATCCTTCGTGGTCGTCAATGTAGAGATGAGATCAGATCAGAAATTTTCCCAAAAAGGCTTGTGTGCATTTTATTTTAAATTGAACAATAAGGTGGATAACGTGTCAGAGGAAACATATTTTTCTAGTATTATTTTAGACAGCATAGAATATTTTAATGATAATTTTATCGTGTGATTAAAAAATACGATTCATTATTTGTACATTTGTGTGTCATATGTATCAAGTTTCTCTCGCGTCAATTTACATATGTGTGTAAAAATAAATGATTACATGTGCGGTGCAAGTCGCCTTCTTTAGCTTAATATCGGGGAGTAATTCGCGATCACGTGGTTTTTCATTTTACATAGCATTATGTATCGCAAAATTTGAAACTAAGCTTAATCGTCCAAAGCGAAACTAAAAAGACGCTTAACGAGCACACGTTAAACAATTGTCGTTACGTTATGGGAAAAGAAGTCAAGTATAGAAATCGTTCAGCGATAGAAAAGATAGGAAACGAGAAAGAAAGAGAGGAGAGAACGAAAGAGAGAGAGAGAGAGAGAGAGAGAAAGAGAGAGAGAGAGAGAGACAGAATAGGTAAGAGACGGCTAAAGATAATGTACTCTTGCATACAGATGACGTTATTAAACGGAAATCTGCAGATGGAGCGAACGCATAAAGCACTGTCTGCCGTCGTTGTCTGATTAGGCATGCAACGTTTCCGCTCCTATCCTTCCTTCATCTTCCTCTTCCCCCCTTGCTTCTACCAAGCTCTCTCTTTCTTTCTCTCTCTCTCTCTCTTCCACGCTCCCGTTACGCGTTATGTCGCCCAAGTTTCGTAAAACGATACTGTAAATTTATCATTGGATATATATATAATGCAGTATCACGAGATGATACAGTTCGTCGTAGCTGAACGAAACGACGAGATCTTTTTTCCCTAAACTTTTTTCCTCAAATGTGTAACTCTATCCGTTTCAATATTTTAAACAACACGTAGCAATCTCTTTTTCATGCACAAGTGTGTACGTACTTCAAATATATTTGTACCACCTGATAGTACAGTCGAATCTTTTTATTCTTGCTCTTCTTTTTTTTTTCTCCCTTCTATATGTATATGCGTATACATTGAGATTTCTCTAATATCTTGTCGTTTCCTCTAGGTACTTTAAAAGAAGAAAGCAAGAATATGTATAAAAGACTCATCAACAAAGCAGCAATACGTCTGAACATCCCGCTGAGAGCGGAGCAACAAGATCGCTGCGGATCTGGCAATTCTTCGCTTTTTAGAAATACAACAAATTCGAATCCCCCTCCCTCCCATCTCTAACACGACTTAGATATTTTCAATAAAAAATAAAATACGTTCGTGCGAACGTGCGTTTTTCGCGACGAGTTTTTTCTACAGCTATTGTACGCGATAAACAAATAATAACGCGGGGGAGAATCAGAGACTGTAATAGAGACCATGATGGGCCGTTGTAAAGCGCGAATGGATGGTGTTCGGACGAGATGTGTAATCGAGAAAGCACGATAATTAATACAACGTGTTATTTAATTTGCGTGATATAGAATAATTGCTCGTCAGTTTGATTGACACTGCCGATATTTATTTGTTGATACAATTTACTGGCACGCGTAAAAAGTGGAAATAACGCAAAGCGATATAGTTTCTCTTCAAACGAGATATTGCAAACGTGAGATAGCAGTACATAACGTGCAAAAATTGATATTGTATATACGTATTGCGTGAAGCCCGGTTTTTATAGATACACAAGTCGCAAAACGCAGATCACACAGAATTTGGCTGATCACATCGATCAGTTCAGTTAATTGAGTAATCCTCGTTTTTGCGACACAAATGATTGACTTATGTTGACAGACTGACGTTGAGATAGTCACCGCAAACTTTAATCTATTTAATATGATTTTTGTTTTTGAGACAAAGTTAATTTGCGTTCATTTATAATCTGGAGAGACAAACGTCGTTTTTTGCGTGTCTTATCAAAGTTACTGAACTCTCGTGTTATCTCTCACGCAGCACATATTTGCATTTTATTTTCTCGCGAACATTTCACATACGCTACTAAAATGACATATTGCTTCCTTGTCACAATTCTTGACAATACAGCTTTGACTTCAACAGTTTCAATTAGCAAAAATTATTATCTCACTAAATTATATCGAACAATTGCTTGTACGACAATTTTTAATTTTGAATACTTCGACCTGCTGTATTCAAAACGCAAATACAATTACATTACACAAACGATAAAATAACGCGATCGTTGTGTTATCGAAATATCCGCATCGTGAAGCTTGTGACCATCCCTCACGAAAGCGCGATGTCACAGTGCATTCGACCGTGAAAAATGTCAGCATAATGTTGGTATGCAAGCGTGAAAAATTTAGCGGGCCAAGGGTGAGAAACATGCGGGCGTTTGAAAATTTTTCGCGTGGCATTCCTCGCCGGAATATGTCGGATAATAATTTTGCTAGTCGCATTCACGTTTGTCAGTCATATATATCTCGAAAGCTTGATGGAAGTGTCTCTTTCAGAATTAACGATATTCCAGAAAGTTTTTCACACCAAATTCTATCGATGACACTTCGTCGAGCTTTGAGACGAACGCTTTTTTTTTTTCGTGCATTTTTTTTCTGCGCGCGTCTTACGTCAACGAAATGGAGAATCGCGCCAAACCCGTGTGTATGTGTGTGTGTGTGAGCATGCATAAGATAAGAAAGTTTTAATAAATGCTAAATTTTTCTTGCTTACTTGACGTAGCTGGTACCCAACGAAATTAAATTGCTCGCCCCTATCTCCCACAAAGACTATTTCATTATGAAACGTGCGACTCTTTTGAGAAAAATCAGAGTGCGTCTTTTCACACACGGTACAGAAATTAAAGAAAGCTGTGTTGAAGATGAATAGACATACCGTATTGGTGATCCAATTTTGAAACATCACTGTCGACCGCTTAAGTGGTTCCTCACTTAGAGAATGTTTTCTTAATGTTTTTGAACGTCTTCTCGAAAATAAAAGCGACGAGAGGCGATGAAAACACGTACGTCACGAAGGAAAATCTTTGTTCAATATATGTGAGATTGCTCTTTTTCACTACAAAATTTCGGATGCATATGTGTTAAATTATAAAATAGCGAGGCAAGTGAATTTGAAAAATATGATACGATGTCATATGATAACTGTGTTTGTGATGACACTAAAGTCTATCTCAGATTAATGCAACCTGATTCTACTTATTCGCAACAACAGCTGAAAAATGAGAGAAGTGATAAATGCATCGCTTCGAGTAGAAGCGAATGCAGTAGCAGCAATTACACGCGCAATCTAAATTCTTCATTATTTCCTTTATTATTTCGTGACACGCAGGTACATGTCCGCTAAATTATTCAGGCGAAAACGCAGAATGTATTACGCCTGCGTAAGAAAAGCACAATATTGCTTTACATAGATACGCTTCGAAAGCGCGCGTACAACATGCCGCAAACATCTGTTTCGCGCATACACGCAGAGAGACAGACAAACGCCAAAGCTGTAAGGGGAAAAGGTCGTCAACTATGTACATAATTTCTAACTTCTGGCTCTCTCTCTATTCGTTTCTGCAACGGACGATTCTACAGACCACTGAATATCTCAGCGTGGTCATGTCCAAATATATATATATCTATCTGACGAGCACAAATAACATCGGAAATAGTCGTATTTGTACATATTTGTTCCCAAGTGCTGTCTCGTTAATAAATCAGGCAAAACAGAAAATTGCTTCGCTCGCGCTACACCGTCGGAATTATATTCCTATATATTTTGTAGTTAGTATAATAAAAATAAAATACAAAGAGAGAAAAAAAAGAGAGAGACAACTCTTCTTTTTTTCACTGTTCGACATAAAATTCTGACATAGAGAAAATACATAAAAAAAATATACATATTTAATTATAGATCTTAATTTAATCTTATTTAATTGTAAGTCTTAATTTTATCTTCAAAAAAATGCTCCGTAGCTAATAAGACGGTATTTGATTGTAAATCATCGAAAGAAAAGAGCGCGTAATTTTATTTCGACCTCTGCAACTTCAAATTTCACTCAGAGCACCAAACACCTCGTGCTTGACATTTCCATCACGTTCTCATATTCACGTAAAATCAAAATCTTCAAGTGTAAATTTTCCTCATTAATCAATTAAACCAAAATGCTGAAAACGGAATAATGCCTTAGTGGCATCACAAAACAGAATAAATGGACATACTGTAACAGAAATCCACCAATAAGTTTCGTAATTCCTCATCAATGATCTAACCTTTGATATACTGATGATTAATTTACCTTGTAACGCGGCTTCGATGTCACGAGCCATATCCTGTCAAAACGTGCCCGTACAGACGAGTCAGTATAATTTTCCATCCTGTCAGCAGCAACAAACCAGCACTCAGCAGATGCAAACTGCAACATGTTCGTGCGGGACTTTCCAAGGTAGAAAATCAATCGTGTCATTCATCACATATATTAAATTACATAAATAAAATCCAACGATACGATTTACAAAAAAAATTTTGAAGATAAATAAATGTTTTTATTAAATTTGTTATTATATCGCATTTGTTTTGAACGACATGCGTGACAACTCATTAAGATAAATTTTAATAAACTATAGACACACGCAATTATTCCATCATGTAATAAGAGAAGCTTTTTGAACAGTCACCGATGTTGTTTATTGTTTCCAATTTATTTCGTCTTTTTAAGAATCTTTTGTCTATCTATTATTCTAGCGCGTCAATGCGTGTCGGGTTCGCCGCAACCAATAATGAACCCGTGTCATCCCGTTTTCCAAAGCACGTGTAATCCCGCGGCGACTCATCTCAGCTACGGTCAGCTGCCGCAGAGTATTTTGGATCAGATTCGTGCGTGCGTTAGCAACGTCGCCGCCCCTCAACCCATTTTTATTCTTCCCGGCAATTGTCAGCAATCGCCGACTCTTCTTCAGCAGCAACAGCAGCAGCAGCAGCAACAACAACAACCGCCCATTTTGCCGCAAGCAACGACGACGACGTTTCCGACAGCGTATCCCACTGGTTCGACTTATCCCGCTTGTTACCCGCCGCCACCAACGTTTTACCCCTATCCCGTTTTACCTCCGCCGTTCTGCGACTCATTTATTCGTGCTCGAGAGACCGCACAGAATTGCGGATGCTGTCGGAAAAGAGACGTCGACTCGGTGGAGATGAGAAGCGTCGCGCGTCGTTACGACACCGAGCTAGACGAGCATCGTTGCTTCACCACCACCGACGACACCATTTGCTCAAAGCGAAACTGTCCTTCCTCGCTGCATCTGCAAGCGTTGGCTTCTCAATTTCTATCGATGCAGGGTGTTATATCGTGCGCCGCCACCCGATTGATTCTGCGTAAAGTACCCGGCTCGAACGTAACCACGACAATGGAGGATACGATGGCAAAGGCCCAAAAGGCCATAAGCACCTTGACGAAAGATCAGTTATTAACGGAATCGAAGAACGCGCAGCAAGTAAACGCATTGATCAACCTGCATATGACGGCGAATCCGCCGCCCAACGTCATTCCGATTCTCACGTTGGTGCAACTCAAGATGAATCTGTTGAAGGCGCAGGTCGAGGGACTCATCAATCAAAAATTAATGGAGATTCAAGGTGTCGGTGTGGAGGTATTAAAATCATTTTGAACAACTTTTGTAAAATTGCTTCTGCGTATGTTTATACGTTATACGTATCTCTCTCTTTCGTTGTTTTTATTTTAATTTCGTCTCTAACGTCTAGGTGGAGACCGATCTTATAGATCCCACGGTTCTCGCCCTGAAATCCGACGCCGAATTACGAGACTTCCTGTCGGTGTTGCGACAGAAGGAATGCGACGAGCGGGTGAACGTAAATTTCGCTCCCTATCGTTCGCAGCGCGCGATCGCGGAGACTCGCTTGAGCAACGTTCAGAACAAGATTCGTCAGGTGGAGGCCGAGTTCGATCGTAGACGTTGCGCGATGCTGCCGACGCCGACGTTGACGTCGCGCATAGTGCAACAATTTTCCAGGCCGTGTTACTCGATGAGATTCGAGGACGCAAGGAAGATGTACAGCTCGCTGGACACTCCGCGCTCTCCCGATCCGTTTGTCTGCGTAAAACCGCTAAGTCCCAAGCGGCTGTTGTTGAAACCGACTGGCAAGCCCGGTGCTGCCGTCACACCCTGTAGCAGCAAAAATCCTGACCGAAAAACCGTGGACGTTGGTACCGGCAATCCCGCGAAAGATGATCCCGCGACTCCCGATCGGCAGCGTTCCAGCACGTGCGCCTGTTGCGACAGAACAACGTCGGAGGAAAGCGTCGATGAGGCTAAAAAAAAACTCGGACCGAGGATAGCCGAGATAGATCCGACGAGTGACATCCAAGAATTGGAACGACTAGTGTCGTCGGTAGCGCCGACCGAAGAAATTTCGTGCGACGCGAAATGTTGGTCTGCGTTCATCAAAGTCGTCGACGACGAATTGGTGGGAACTCCGACGGAATCGGATAGCGACACGCTCGTCGAGAAAATCGATGCGGCAGACGTTTGCGAATTTCGAGATGCGATCGAGATTCGCGACCAGATGACGGATCGTCAGGATTTTGCAAGTTCGACGAATCTGCCACGGTCCGAGGAGCAAAATGAAATCGCAATTTTGAGAAAAGATGAGGCAATTAGAGAGTACGCTACTGAGATTAAGAGCTCGCGAGATGTCTCGTCGCCGAAAGCTGAGCAAAAAGAGACGAAAGCCGCAACTGCCGCACGAGTTTCAGACGATGATCCAATTTCGAGTGCGCGGGAAACGGAGCGGAAGTCACCGGATACTTTGTCGCTGGAGATTATATTAAAACCGAATAAAGAGAATGAACAGACACATGAAAACGGTGAGACATTGCCGTTATTCAAGATGAAAGAGCGAGACACTCTAAAGGCACGGACGAGCAGAAGCAAGAACAAGGTAACATTTGTTTCACTGATGACGAACATTGTGTACGATAAGGATTGTCAACATCGTATCAAGCAACATTTCGACAAGAAAATAACAACAAGTGCAAAAGAGACAAATGTGCCTGTCAGTTCAAAAATCGAACAATTAGACAAATACTGTTCCCTATTGGTGGGAAATCTGTTAAAAACAGCCATTTTGCACGGTATCGTCAAAAAAGATTTTTTAGAGAACGCGCCAACGAAAAGGACAGATCTTTCGAAGCGCGTTGTCAATCGTCAACGTCAAACCGCGTTCGAAATTGTCAAAGAAGATAAAAAAGTACCTGTCGCGTTGCAAAAAGTAAATATATTTCCTCCATTCAAGAATCTGCGGAAATATGCGTCAGGTAGGTATCGATTTATATGTCAGGTAAGAAATTTGCACGATTTAAATTTTAGAAAGAGAAAAAAATGGAAAGAAAGAGAGAGAGAGAAGCTACTTTTTTAATTTATTGCTTTTAACATCAGAATACAATCAGAGAACAATTTTATAGAATTTTGTGTATTATATATATATATATGCGGATAAAAGATTTATATTTTCAGGATTTTTAAATCTGTTTTTTTTTTATCCACAGATAAAAAAGAAGAAACTTATTCACGTCCGATAGCAAAAGCAAAAATTACATCCGGAAAACATTCACTTCACCACAACGACGTAACAGAAAATACCGCGGAAATGATGAACAAAAATAGCGCGTGTTATTGTCCTGATGTGGAACATGAGAATCGCTTTATTTCGGAAATACTTTCTGTTATTGGTTACCACGTAGTCGCGTTCATCAATAAAATAATTGCTTTGAACAGAAAATTGCTATATTCTTTGAACGCTATATTACGGAAAAGTTTAAATATTGACGTCTTCGGAATAAACGCTTCGATACGCTATCATTACCGATTAAAAGATTACGATCCGCTCGCTAATATTTTTTATCTCGGCTCGAATCAAGGAGGTTCCAGGACACACGGTGATACGAGCTCAGTGCGGGTTTCTAAGGGAGAAGGATGTATCAGGATACATAAAATAACACACTCAATAATTGAAGACAAAACGAACGATACAAAGTACTTAGTAATCGATACGTCGAGACGCAACTGTCATTTGATCTCGAAGTGTAATTTGGGACAGCCACACGGGACTCGGAGGAACCTCTTGATACGTAGTCGTTTGAAAACTCATCTAAATTCACAAGATTGCCAGAAAGAGCGTCCTTTTTCTCTTTTGAAACGCGTGCCAGAAAAAAACTCGGACCTCACCTTCGAGTAACGCAATGAAAATACGGTCGCAAAAAGGGAAAACATACAAATTCAATGGCAGTGAAAAATTCTGAGCTCCACCGGAAAGTTGTAAGAGCAAGTGAAAAAAAAACAACAAAACATCAAAAGCGAGGCAAAACGACGAACGAATTCAAAGAGCAAATTGCACATGAATATTCGCGCGATGATATTGCAAATAATGTTAAGCGAGAATACGCAATCATTGATAATACTTCAGCGAGTAACGAACTCGTAATAAACGTTCGTGATTATCTCGGATTGCGGACTGAAATAAATACGAGTGTTTACAAAAGCTGTGACCCCCGCATCGCTCTTGTTTATTAATTTCTAACAACTGACAAAAGTCAAATAATGGTATTAACACATTGTTCTTGTTAATCATCGAAATAATATGCTATTTACGACTCTACGAAAGGAAGGTTAATTAAAGTACAAAACTGTAGTCGAGTGTACGGTGTGTAATTTGTTTCCTTTATTAATAACTTTTATCTTTCTCCAGTGAGAGCTATTCTCGTCGCTATAGTTGTCTATCTAATGAGAAACTTTTTAGAATTGCGATATAGTAACAGGACGACAATAAACTTTTCAATGTTTTTTTTTTTCTAAAACTGCTCGGTCCAGACTCTACAAAAGAGAGAGAGTTTCGAGAATAAAAACAGTGTTTGTCACATGTTTCACATACATTTGCACTTCGTATAAACACTGTAGTTATTTAGTTACCATATGAAGACACAATCAAATTGGTTTACTTCTTTTGCGTGTGAGATTTTGCGATCTAATTTATTATTTCATATATATATATATATGTTTATATGTATATATATATATTAGATTTCTTACATTCTAATCGAGCGATTATCAATAGAAAATAAACGAATTTAACGCACTGGTTGGTTGTACAAAATTAATATTTGCAACTACGGGAATCCCCGTGTTACATATCAAAATAAGTAACAATGTCACGCCACACTGTTCTATACATAATGCTCTTCAATAAATAACAAGGTAATGTATTATATCCGAAATGTGTCGGAGATACAAGAATGGAGATGAAATTGGCATATTTTTCACATGAAAGAGAGAATAGTAATATATATAACATTTTTATGTGTCTGGAAGAGTATACATGCAAATTGCACGATAACTACGTACAAATATCCAAACTTTACGGTGAAAAACACAAGTCAGGGTACATGTTAATTAGGGCCGTAATAATATACACATTATTGATACGTGTGTATCTCAAAAATACATACCGCAAATATCAAAGTTACAAAAACGGGTCGTATATATTTAAGATAAATGTACAATCTAAATTTCTTATGTAGAAACTATATCTAACTGCAGACTGAAGAGACCCTTGCGGAAGAAAAGATCGAACCTATTGTGTTTGTGAGAAATATTTATATTAATCAGTCACGACTTACATTAATCTCTGTTTCTATATATATATATATATATATATAATTATTATCTATATATATGTATATATAATTATATATATATATTATGAGATTTCGTTTTTTGAGGAACTGAGTGACCGTGTCACTTTCCAAACAATCGTCATATAATAGTGTCAAATTAATAATACACGCATTATTTTTCATTTGTGATTGTTTTCTTCATTTGTTTTTTCCATAGACATATAAGTATAAACTAGAAATTGCGACCGTCAACAATGGCGTCGCTAGAAAAAAATGAAACGATGTCGATGCCTCGTGGATACCTTATATGTAATATAAAAAGTTGCGTTTCTTATTAAGATTTACTGAATTAATACTATAATATTACGAAAAAATGTATAAATAAATAAAAAATGGACTTCCAAATGTGTGTTTTTATTCTACACACGAATGACACAAATGTACACGCACGATTTTATTAAGTTAAGCTGTTACATACATTACAGCATTGAGTTCACATCGTTTCCGTGAAACTTCAAAGAGGATCGTTCGCTTATTTTCATCGATTCGCGAATTCACACGATGTAGCGTCGCGAAGCAAATATACCTCGCAATTCTAGTGTATACTTCTATGTCTATGGTTTTTTAAATATTTATATATGCGAATAGAAGGATCTTTACTATCTCCTATACAGTTTTTTTACAGATCTTGCTTTTTAATTCTTCTTAAATAAATATCATTTGATCTTTTCCGTAGCTCAGCTACTACTCAGCAACGTACGATCGTCAAGTTGTCACGATTAGTCCGTTATTATTGGCAAAAGCTTTGTATGAAAAAATTAATCAGATTATACAACAATATAGCGAAAATAATACGCTATTCAATACACAAAATGTCACTGATATAAACGGAGCAATTATTTTTTGGCGTGGTGCAATTGTGTGTATGAACATTCGTTTTTCTAATACGTGTTAGTCTTAACTCTAAAAAAAATATAGACACTTTTGTTGTTAAATCTCTCAACCAATATATCAATTATTCTCGAAATATTATCTTTCGATAAATATATACAAAAATATTTACAGAGAGAGAGAGAGAGAGAGAAAGAGAGAGAGAGAGAGAAAGATACATTTACACCACTAATGTATTTGAATATTTCAAGAAACAACTTAAATAAGAGAGAGTGTGCGTTTATAATAGCAATAATTTAGTTACAAATTAATAGTTCCTACAACAAATCTTTGATCAAAGAACTTAAATAACTAAGAAAATACTTGCACTCTATAATTATCAAAGCCTTTTATATTTATAACAATACAAAATAGCGCAAAAAAATAATAATAAAGTTTTTTTTTACATAACTTTAACGAAGGTTAAATTGCTGATAATCTAAAATTAAATGGACAAGAGATTGTGAATAACATATACGTTGTGTATATTATAAATTACGTAAATGTAATGCAGTTTATACACGCGCGTATGTCATTTTTGTGCTGTAAAAAAACTTGAATCACTTAAAAAACTTGTGTGATGATCGCGAAGCCATTTTTATCATCGCCGTGAAATACTCCAAATAAATATGTCTATTAAAAAGTTAAGTAGGCGATTGTGTGTGTGTGTGTATCGGATTTCGTACTTATAAATCTGTTGATTTTATTCCGAATTATCATTCGGATTTCATCATATGCAAGTTGAACTTCCCGTTTGAGAACATCAACTTGGGCAAAGGCACGATTGACCATAGGTAATGTTTTGTCTGAAATAGTTTGCTATATAAACATTGAACTTTTTCCATTTTTCAAAAAAAAAAACTAAAACAAAATAAAAATGAACATAAGTAAAGTGAATACAAGTTTTCGTGTATGTAACAATCAAAAAGTCCTGTCTCTCTTTTTTCTTTTTTCTGATAAAAATATTTCAAATTAGTATTTTTATTCTGAAAGCGTGAAATCATAGAGACGCGTCAGCGTCTCTGTGCAGCTTCCGCTAAATTCACATTGAAGACAGTGTTTATAGTCCTTTCTGGAGTAATGATATTCGAATTGAAAATAAATTCTTTTTCGGACATTCGTTTGCGCATCTCACATATGTAAAACTTTCACTTATACTTACTCAAAAGAATTATAGCAAAAACTATTATCTAAAAATTGGAGTTCTTTGCTTTTCAGAACACATTTTTAATTTAGGCACTGAAGCCACTTGATAATATTCAATGTTAGGCTATTAACGATTGTTTATTCCAAGTCAGAATGTCAACTTAAATTTAAATCAATTAAATGGACTTCTTATTAGCGCGCAACATATAAACATAGAATTCTTCTTCTCCATGAAAAATCTATAAATACTGCAGTTAAACCGTATTAATTTTCTTCCTAATTCGCTGCTTTGGTGTACTCGGTTCTCAATTGACCAAGTGTCAACTTAACTTCGTGAAAAGTCGGTCTTTTTTCTGGTTGTAAATTCCATGCCTGTTTTACAAAAAGTAGTATAAATTAATAATATATAATGCGACACTATACACACACGTAGCGGACAAATGTAACATACCTGTTTCATAATATCGTAAACTTCCGAGGGACATCCGTCTGGCGGTTCCAACTTATATCCTTTTTCTACACACTTTACAACATCGGCTAAAGGCTGTAATAATAACAATAATGTGTGAACAAAAACTATTTTTTTGTCTTGTATGAAAAATCAATGCAAGAACAATTGTCACTCACAATTCGCGGGTACGGCACGCGACCAAAAGAGTAGATTTCCCAAAGAAGGATTCCAAAGCTCCACATGTCAGACTTATTTGAAAACTTCTGAAAACAGCCAAATCAAACGCAAATTAGACCGATACACTTCAAACTTGTTCTGATCGTATGTCATCAAACACTCACTGGATTCTGCTTTAAAGCCTCTGGTGCAGTCCATTTGATTGGCAGTTTTCCACCTTCGAGGGCGAAATTTTCATCTCGCGCTAGACCAAAATCGGATACTTTGGCGGAGTTGTCCTCCGCCACTAGAACGTTCCTCGCTGCTAAATCCCGATGCACTACGTGTCTGGATTCCAGATACGCCATACCAGCACACGTATCGCTACGGATATCAAGTGTGTGATTAGTTGCACGTAAATATTTTACGATCGACATGCGAATTTTATGCGGTCGCATCTTTACGTACTATGCAAAGTTAATCTGATCCTTCTTCGAAACGTGAAGTCTCCCCCTCGATCGTAAGTAGTCCACCAGAGATCCTTTACTCATATATTCCGTAACTAGATATATATGTTGATTATTAAAAACGAGACCGAGTAACTTAACCAGATTGTCGTGAATCAGGGAGGTCATTAGGCTCGCTTCGGCGAGAAACTTCTGCGCCGCCGCGCTGTTATCCTTCAGCATTTTCACCGCGACCCTTTCTCCTCGGTAGACGCCTAAAAGCACGTCACCGAATTCTCCCTTTCCGATGCACTCTTTTAATTCTAACTCGTGAGTCTGAATCACCCAACCGGCCTCGACAAAGGCCTTCGGGTCCACACAGAAATCTTGCTTGCCCTGCTTTGGCAGAGATTTCGTTAGCTGCGTACACAAACCGTCCGCGTCTTGCTCGTAATGCTCGACCAGGAGCGCCAGATTCTCGAAGAACTCCTCGTCATCGATCGTTAATTGATTGTTTTTATATTTCACCCTGTAATGCTGCACGCGTCCTTGATAGCACACACACAGTGTGTAGTCCCCGGGGAAATTGGTCGATTCCCGAACGAGAAACAGACCGTCCTCTCGCGGTCGTAATAACCTTTCCGCTGTTTCCCTCGATATTTTTCCATGGAACCATCTGCGCGTGAAAAAGAAACAAAAAAAAAATATAAACAAACTGTTAAACTTTCAAGTACGTGTGTGATTATAAATCAATACGTACGGCATCGCGCTCAGCTTCACTTCGTGTCGCGGATTGACCGGCAACGAGGTGGTGTTGGCGCCTGAATTAATGGCGTTCGAGGTGAGGATCACCGGAGACGACGCGGTGTTCACGTGCGTCGTGATGTTGGGGGTGGTGACATTCGAATGCGTGGTCATCGTCGGCGACACGGGGTGGGACGGAATGTTACCTGCAGTCAGGTTGGAAGGAACGCTGTGCTGCTGGGTGCTGTTGTGTATAAGGGAGTGGGATGTTACGTTTGAAGGAATAGTGTGATGATTTTGATTGCCGTCGAGTTTCGCTTGTCGCGCTGGCGCTGACACATTCGGGTATACGCCACCCGCATTGTGGTACGTTGGCATGGCAGCACAGTAGGCTCTATCAATCTGCGAAGATGAATGAAGCGCATTCATGTGAGAATTTATCCGGTTTCCGTCTCATTAATAAGATGTTTTCATCCATCGGTGAGACGTAACGCAGAGACGAACTAAATCGGAGAAAAAATACAAAACTCTTTTTCATTAACTTTTTATTTCATGTTTACGTGCTTCTACATCGAGAAACACTGAAATATTTCGTTGCTGAGTAATTAACCCGACGAAGCTTTTCAGTTTTCTTCGTCGACATCTTATGAAATATTCAAAAAGAAAGAGAGAGAGAAAGAGAGAAGGAACTCTCTTTGAAAACAGAGATATTATTTACCAAGACAAAAAATACAAGTAAATACTGACCGGAGTGGCGCGATTCAATTATCTCGCTGTTAAACGCGCGAATCCATAAGGAAGAGATGATTAATAAAACTCGTTAGGCAAATTGAACCCGATGCATATTCAACCGGGGCATCGCGCTGAGTTTTAAATATACAGCAGTTGGACTAAAGTGCCTATTGTTTCAAGGCGTATAATCTCTATCGCGATGCTCATCCGTTGAATTACGATGTGATACACGACCGTACATGGGACGTCTGCGATAGGTGAGTCACACAACTAGTTGCGTATTTTCGCAACGATTGTAATATATGTATACAGCGATATAGTAGAGTCTATCATTATCGAAACACAAGTGACACACTCCGTTAGCGATCTAGAGAAACTTTTTAACGCGCAAATCTCGTCGTCTCGTTAAATTCGAGAACAAAAGAAAAGTGTCCGATAAAATCAATTTGTCGGACAAGAAATATTACCGGCGCTTGTGCGTTATGAATGAAACATACATACATATGTAGAAAACAATTTTATTCTACGTTATCTCCATATTTCGATCGTACGCGGTAACAGGAGAAACAGAAATCCATTGCACACCGGATAAATATTGAATAATTCAACCGAGAGTCTATCCTTGGTCGGCGGGATTGCAGGACAGAGGTTGAGAGAGAGAGAGAGGAAAAGAGAGAAAGAGAGGAAGCGAACGAGCGAGTTATGTCATGCAAAACCGTGTAGTTGCAGCGGAACGTGATAATATGCGAATCGTTTCGTTACGTAAGTTCGAATAGTCACATTTTTGGTCTCGTACTACACTACTCTAGATTTCAGGACAGACAGATAAACAATCAGAAAAAATACGTTTTAAGAACAATTTTCTTTATTCTCTCTCTCTCTCTCTTTGAAAGATGTAAGATTGTTATCGAGATTGACTGTGCAGACTACTTCGTTTGTGTCAAGTCTGCTGCAATGACTGCACAACGTCGTAACAGAAGCGCAACAAAGCAGAAAAGTTAAAAGACCCCGAGTTTACGAGGCAGAAGAGATATAGGCCGATATTTATAGTCGAGAATCTTATATTTAAGATCCTAAGTTCACCTTCAGATGCTCTCCGTGGCCAATGAAACGACCCGTACAGCATCTCAAGACGAACTCAAATGTATGAGATCGGTCTGTGAATAACCGGCCGAATAGCGAGGGGCTAAACTCTTTGTCTCAAAACGAATCTCAAAATAGAATTTTTTGTTCAAGCCAAAAAAAAAAAAGCCGGCAGACGCGAGACACCCAGAATATCAACATCAAATCTGAATGCGAGGTGCGTAGTTACGTGTGATACACGTTCCATCGCGCTTCGTCGTTCGGGTGACCCGATTGAGCGCGGCTGCGTATATTTCAAGCTAATGAGACTTATTATTAACTCGATTGTACACACACGCGATGTTAATTTCCATCGATATATTGCAGGTAATACGTGCAAATCATTTTGCAAAATTGTTCTATTTGCGTGCAATCAAACGTTCTCGAAAGAGTTACGTGTTCGCAACGCGTTCAAACTAATCTGTCTCTAATATCCGCATGCAGATTCATACGACGCTCGGCTTCTAAAAACTTCTTTAGCGCGTGAAATGTCAAATGACAAATCTATTATTAAATATCGTGTTTCGTACAAAACAATGTCACAAATACAGGAACACAAATGTAAATCGAATATTCAGAAAGAAATATTCTCGCTCGCTCTCGAATCGCTTTAAAACACTACGGAAACGAAATTTCAACGAGACGATTCGCGTGACGTGTGTGTGACGGCGATGTTAAACGACACGTGTATAGAATATCTCGAATAACATAATTGAAGAAATACAAATGCGACGCCGCTTATATTTCGATTTCGAGCGGAATACGCGGACGCGATAATTACATGATTCCGTATGCAGATTTCAAGGTTGACTCGGAAGTTTCTGTTTACATGAGTGTTTTTCGAACTCCCGCTCGTGACTCACTATCAGAGCGTCTCTTCCACAACCGCAGACCACAGTCCACTGCGTATTATTTCACCAAGACCAACGTGGTTGCATTCGCACGCGAGGAAAGCTCCATTTATCGGCACAAAAAACCTGTGCGATGCGCGATTGCGGTCCGTGCAAACATGACAGTAAGCTCTCACAGCTGAACAATAACCGGGCGATAACCGCGATTCTTGGTGGTTTTTTAACGAAAAAAGGATTTTCTGAGAAAGAACGAAACAAAAGTTGAAAAATATTATATTTTTTTAAGATGGAAATTGTGTAAAAAATATATTCAAAAAGATAACGATTACAAAAAATTCTAATTGTACGACGCGGAAATTGAATGTTTCGCGTATAATTTTATTATATGTACGTTGAAAATGATAAAAGTCGTTTTATGTGACTGCGACTATACCCAAAGTTGTTCACGAGACAAAATTCGCAATTTATGCGAGGCTCGTGCCCGGTTGCATGCGTGCCGGCCGGGCACGCACATCGCGGGTCCTATTAATATCTTCCAAGACAGCGTAAAAGGGCGCGAATGCGGACGAGAAGAGAAGAGAAATGCAACAGATTCGCGGCGCTTGCTCGTGTTGTGTTGCACGCTCTTTAACAGTACACATTACTGTACCGTGACCCACACCACTGTTTTCCATGTCTTACGTCGCACGTCTCTCCGGAAGACGAACCTTCGAACTCTCTTCTTTTCCGCGAGCGATGCGCCTCTTCCCGGTTCGCGGGAACTTCCGAACGCGACGCGACGAAAACGTTCTAGTCGCGCTTCTGACATTCCGAATGCACAAACAGGAGCACGAACACGCGGAATTTCATTAGTCACTTCTGTCACACTGCAATGCAAAAAATATGCGCGGGTCCCTTGCGAATCTCGCGTTTTTTTTTTCGTTTTTTTTTTTGTGCATAAATTCCTGGAGCATTTTGGAGAGCAGTCTCGTGCGCGTAACAGAATTCTCAAGAGACACTAACTAAATAAAGACCAGAGTCGTACAGGATGTATAATGTATCCTTTTAGTAGCACACATTTTTATATCTTTGTGGTTTGCAGTTTTGCGTCTCGCTTTTCAGTCTGCTCTTTTTTAATTTTCGTCTCATTCGGTAAGATCCCTCGTAACTTAATCTCGCATAACTTAAGTATACTCTTCGTGCTGTCATCTCGCTATCGTTCGCAAATTGATCACGCATGCACAGAAAGAACATAATCTGACGTACGCATGTCAAGCACCCTTATAAAAGAGTGAAAAAATAACGGAGAAACTTAAGTTATCCGGGATTTTGCTGTATATATTGACGACATCTATACGTTATATCCATGATGTTAATAAGTTTCAAAATAGAGTATAAAACAAATTAAACGAATAATAAATTAAACGAAATTTTTCTTACTGATGCATATAGATTGCAACAAATCTTAAACTTTTTCTAAACCAAAAATAATAGGTACATATGTATTATATAATATATAATTTATTATAATTATATATAATTTTTATATATATTACTTATATATCAGTTTTTTCTCTTTTACATTCTTCTAGTATTTTCTTATATGTTTCTCTATCTCACATTCTGTTCTTTATATATTTCTATGTGATATTTTACAAACCCTACTTTCATGTTTCATTCATATTCCTCAACAACGTCTGTGAAGACGAGCTGTCCGGAACGACATCGAGTGTCGGCGTAGATCATATCATGGAATGCTTGAAGCGCGAATAGCACTACTAATGAATAGCGGGATCGAAAACATCAAGCACTTGGCTCTTGTATAAAGGAAGAATTGAAATAAAAACTCGATGTTTTTTTTTTTTCTCGTTTCTCAAATTTTTCATCGGTGTGCTCATTTGCGTCAGAATAAATTGCTAAATAGAATAGAGTCGCTCCAATACCGCAATGGAACGTGAGATTTCTAGCTTCCGGCGTTTATGTATTGTAACGTTAATCTCCTCACATTGCCTCGTTCAAAGATCGAGATTAATTCGCGGTACAGAGTGCAAGAATTAATACAGAATGTCTGTCTCAGAAACATACCTATGCTTTGCATCGAAAATCCATTTTTGGAAAATATTGGCTCTCTGAAACAAACACAGAAAGTGAATTACGAAACTTGTACGACTTTCGTGAATTAAAAAAACTTGAATAATGTTTTATCTTAGTTTTCATATTAGATTTGTATCTTGGGAAATATTTACAACAACAATAGACAAATCATCACGCGATATAATAACGGGTTGTAGAAATATATAAATTATGCGAACGAGTAATACGCGCTACATTTAAAACGAATATTATTTCTACAAGAAATGCTTCTGAAAAGAATTTTTTTCTCGATATTATTTCTGAAAGAAATGTTTCTCATAAAACAAAACCATACAGTGTATCGCGTCTTACAACAAAGAACAAATGTAGAACAGCCGCGTTTTTTGCTTTCATTTAAAATGTTTTTTCGCGTAAAAGAGCCGAAGTATTTTTCATTACTGATATTTCTGAGAACGCAAAATGCGAAGTAAAAAAAAAAAAGTCGGGACAAGGTCGCGCGATTTACAGACCTTCTTCAGGCCGGGATTTAATTACGTGAAAGATGTGTAAAACAGAACAAAGTCACTCGATTCGGCGAGAGATGAAAAAGGGATTAGGAGAGAAGAGAACGTTCTCTACTAGTTACGCGGCGCGCAATTAAGCGCCGCATACACACACACGACTATGTTATTTATCGCGCGCGGCGTTGCCTATTTATATAATTAGCCAATTGCTAATTGTCCGGGTTCACGTAAGTCGCGGCCAGTTTGCTTCGGCGCATTAATCACTTGTCGTCGTCGTTTCGCATAATCTACCTCTCACCGCGAATCGACTTGAATTTTTACGCAATGTCAAAGACACATTGCAAAGAAGCATATTTTGGCTCACGTGTAATTGTGTACGAAGCATTAAGAAGCCGTTGAGAGTCACTTGTATCTCTAAGTCTTTATAGATATCAAGTAGGCATATACTGCCTCTTGAAAGTTTGTTAACACAAGACATAGATTTTAAAACTGATGCATAATTACACAAATACATCATTTCTAAGTAACTTGGAAATAGCATTGGAATAGATAGCAATATCTAATACACTTGAATGCAACCTTAAATGACCTTAAATGATGATAAGATAAAATATTTTGCATGTATAAGAAATATTTCTGGATTTGGAAACAAACATTGATAGAGGCTAAATGTACATAGAAATTGATAGTATCTTTCTGATAACTTGTTTGTATCACAATACTCTGTAAAGCAAGTGGTTGACATTATGTTCAGCTCAGCACATTCCTGAGGCTGGAAACTGCTCTAGTAATGGATAATATTTTTTGTGTTTTTATCACTGAAAAGATACGTAGTGTAAGAGATACCGAGACATTCTCAAAATACAATGTACAGACAATAATTTAAGAATAAAAAAAATAACTAGAAAAAATAAGTAATATAAATGTGCGAGATATAAAGAATAACCGAGATCACAGCAAAAGGTTATAAGGTGACAATCTATCACGGTGAGGCAGAACTAAAAGATAATGAGCAAAACGCAAACACTCTCGATTAAGAAAAGAAACGCGAATACGTCTTGGATCGTATCTGTCATTCAAATTGTCGTTAAAATGACAGAGGGATTGCACGTAGAAACTATAACCAAACTCGGTCGGAGATCGCGCGGAATCTCGCACCACTGATCGGCGAAAGCACTCGTGGTCGCACCTACGACGTTTGCTTTGACGTAAGGACGCCCGTCACGACGGAAGGACGATCTATGCGTTTCGTAGTACAGATGTTGGTACATGCATACGTGCAATGCGGCAATACACACCTCTAAATGCGGCGAGACGAGCCGTGCAGGCGGAACGCGTCCACCTCCGGCCGTGTGAACAGCTAACTTACGCGCGGATAAAGCGGACGGTCACGCGAGACACGCTGCTCCAGCCGTTCGCGTTTCCACGCGCGAATATTCATAGAAAACTGCGATCGCGCAAACACTTAGCGAGAAACGTCACTCACTCACGCAACTCGGGCAGCCATTTTACTGCGCACAACCCGTGCGAAGATAGCTTCTTGAGATTGGCATCTTCGGTGTGATTTCATGAATTACTGCGATACAACCTTAAAGATCGATATGCGATACTTCGATTCTCGAAGTCGAAATATCGAATCAAATAAAGTTCTTTATAAAACTAGCACAGGCGCGCGCTACGCGCACGCTATTGTTATTTTTATTTAACGTGTTGTCAGTGAACACAACCTGTCACCGCGATGACAGATAGTATATACGTCTTATAAACCATATAATACACATATGAGAAATGTCAGAAATAACGCATGAAAATCAAACTCAAAAAATAGTGAAAGAGAAAAGTGGAAAAACAACACGTGACAGGGAAAAGGGTAAAAAAGAGAATATTATATATATTATATGTAATATTCTATATCTATATATAATACACACACATACACACACACACACATATATATATATATATTATATACCGTAAACACGTGACCGAAGTCAGTAACACCGCCGCGGTCGCGCGGCCGAGGTTAGCGACTTCACCGCAGTCGCGCGACTGAGGTCATTCACCCCGCCGCGGTCGCGTGACCGAAGTCAGTGACCCCCCCCCACCAAGGCCGCGCGGCCGAGGCAGTGACCCCGCCCCCATCATGGCCGCGCGCCCGCGGTCAGTGACACCGCCCCCACCATGGCCGCGCACCCGCGGTCAGTGCCCCGCCAAGGCCGCGCGGCCGAGGTCAGTGACCCCGCTAAAGTCGCGCGGCGAAGGTCAGTGACATTACTGTAGTATGTATATAATACATATAATACAATATAAAGTATAATATTACAAATATATAATAAATTATATGTATAATATGTATTATTTAATGTTATATATAATATAAATTACAGTCACGTTATTTTCACGTGTTGTTTTTCTATTCTTTCCTGTCACGTGACTTTAGTTACGCTTAGTTGTCGTACGACAAATGTAATATTAGCCTTAGGCAAAGACAACGATTTTAAGTATGTTGATTGGCTATCAGATAGAGTTTTATAGAGAACGGTATTTGATAGCCAATCAATATACTTAAAATCTTTGTCGTACGACAAATGTAATACTAGCCTTAGTAGGGACGTTTACAGGACATCTAAGTCCGGTTTTTCCTAAAACAGTTTTTATTAAAACGGTTTTATCAGTCGTGTAAACGTAGTCAGAGACTAGCGTATGGACCAACAACAAGGTTCAAAAAGCCATAACTGTATCAAATCAAACGTTCCTCGCTTAAAAGTGTGTTGATTCTTGTTTCCCTTTTACTCGTGGAACTTTACTCACTCAATTTATTCTTATTTTTCTTAATAAACTAACACTTGCAAAATCTGGAATACTTAAAAAAGAAAAAATAAGTAGTTATATTTTATTTGATTCATCGAAAAATGAGTTATAGTAAAAAGCATAAAGTTTTATTGCAAGCTATTATACAAGAAGGTGCTTTGAGTGAATATGAGGGAAAGAAATTAGTTTTGGAATTATTTGGTATGTAAATTTTTTCAAGTGAAGTAAATATGTAACATAGAAGTATAAAATCACTTGTATACATGTATGTAAAATAAGAAGAAATAACTATTTTCTTTCTTTTTCTTAACTGTTTTAATATAAATTTTAGGTCATGATCATATAGCAAAAGTGCTAAATGATATAAATATTAAGTTGCAACTACTAAACATGACTATAAAATGTGTAAATTGTGAAGTTACTGGTAATTTATATTGGATTCTTGCAAGTACAGTACAAGAAAAATCTGCTAAGTAATATTCAAAATTGTTTTTAGTCAATATAATATTTTTATGATTATTGCAAGTTATTTATTGTTTATATTAATTTTTGTAGCTTTCCTCTTGAGTTTTCACAAGCTCAGTTAGAGCTATTACGTAACATATATTCTGAAATAATTACTTCAAACACTGGTAAAGTGTCAAGTACATGGTGCCTTAACTTATGTTCAACATTAAATCACAGATTGACTAAAACTGAAGCAGAAGAATTTTTACAATTACTGGTTAATAGAAAATGGTTATTTTATAAGGTGCCAGGTTTTGTTATATAATTTCAAAAATTCCTTTTTATAATTAAATCTTTTGTAACAAAGAAACATGTTTTAGAATGGAAAATACTACATAGGCGTGAGAAGCATAGCAGAACTACAGCAATATTTCAAGGACACATATGATGACAATTTTACAACTTGTATCTTATGCAAGCAATCTCTTTATTATGTAAGCTGATAAAATTAAAAATATTTTAATATTTCTATTATTTTCCATATCTTACAATTATAGTAATTAAGTTTTATTACACAGGGTGCAAAGTGTGACTCATGTGATACTACGACACATGTTTATTGCTTAAAAGCTTATATGAGAAATAGTAAATTGGGATGTCCTAATTGTCATTCTGCAATGCCAGGAATTACTTATTCTGGTAATTAGTGTTTATTATTAGTGCTTATAATTTTATTAATTTGTTTCGTTTTTTACTTTATTTCAATAAAAGTAACAATATACAGCGATATATGTAATTTCTTTCCGAAATGTATTATTTTGATATTTATAATAAGATATACATGTGTGCTAATATTTTATTGTATTACAGATGATACTAATTCATTACAAAACTAAGTAAAACTAAGTTCGATGCTATAAACATGAAATAATAAAGGGATGAAACAACAGTTACCAAGATTCAGTAAGAAGTTCAAAAGGCACTTGTAACGCTGTGTGATTATTATTTCTAATTCATTACAAAACTTATTATTTATAAAATTCGCTGAAAAATTTTAAAAAGAAAATAAATTGTTATAAATATTTATGTTAAAAGTATTGATGGTTTACTTATAAAATATATATTTCTTTATATATACATATATGATTTTATATATTTACATATAATGAACAATATTGCTATGAGAATTGTTATTACATATACATTTACTTTGTGTGACTTTTTTCAAATTTTTCTCTCAAGTACTTGAGACCGGCCATTATCCTGTCTTCATTTATATTCTGCGATAGACCATCTTGTTCGCTTGCATCAGTCAAGTTGTAACTGGATGTTGTAATCTCATCAGGAAGAGGAATATTTAGATTATTTTGTAACATTTGCTGCTCAGGTGCATGTGTTTTTTCAAAATAGTCATACATATTTTGTAAATAATTCTTCGGCAAGTGAGATAATGGATATGAAACAGTTGCTGGACTGGATGCACTTATAGTAGAAGTAGATGTCGTACTTTCAAACGCCTCAATCTCACTATTTTTTATGGTAATGTGTTTTACAATACTTTCATCATTTTGATCATTGATCTTGCTATTCTTTACATTAAAAACTGTGTCATCACCAATATTAGTATCTTCATAAGAGAGTAAGTTATTACCACACTTGTCAATAGATTTTTTATTACAAATTTCAGTATTATTAACTTCTTTGTTACTTTCCACTGTCTTATGAGTTGATTGTTCACCAATATCTTGAGACTTACAAAAGCCAGCACTTTTAAAGTTATCATATACTGGCCCAAATTTACTAATTCTTTGTGCTCTGCATTTCTCTATCCACTCTTCTTGCGACATTACATGCCAGTAATCTTTCTTGTCGAGAAGTTCTGCGAAAGCCTTTATTTTATTTTCCTCATTCTCTCGCTCATGAGCGGTCTTAATTTCCTTATTATTTCTATCTATGCAATCCGTTTTGATTAGAGAGTCGTCTTTGGATTCCTCAGTAGATTTATCATCGATAACACCATTGCCAGTAGTGTTAATTACTTTGTTTTCTTGAATTAACTCCTCTTCTGTAAGTTCTGCTGGCAAGCCTGCTCGAATCCGTTGCCTGATTCTCGCAACCTTCAGTCTATTCTGTTCTATTCTGTCTTTCACTTCCTTTACTTCTCTTATTTCTTTCTGTTTTTTCTCAGTTTCCTTCCGTAAGTTTGTCAGATTTTCTTGCTGTTTTATTCTCTCCTCTTCATCTTGTGAGAATGCATAATAACCAACACCATGCGTTCGTGCTTCGTCGAACAATATATCTTGATAATGTATATCCACTTTGTCCGCAAGCTTTTGTGTTTGTTCTTCCCATTTTCTCCTCATAATTTCTATTTCAGGTTCTTTTTCCTGTACAGGGTATTGTTCCTTGTTTTCTTCTTCTATATCAGATTTTTTCATTATTTCTTGCTCTATTAATTTGTCTTTCTTTTGCATATGTGGTAGATCATCCTTCAAACACTTTCTAGTACGACCAAAACAATCTTGGTATTCTACCCAATTTTCTTCCGGCTCTATTGGATATTCTTTGTCAATAGTTTCATCTATAAAATCCTCTTCAGGTTCATCTAACTTCTCCTTAAAATCAACAAGAAACTTATCATTGTTAAGTTTTGCTTTTTTCAATCTTTCATACAATCTTGTTTTGGCTTTTAACATGAGTTTTGACTTCTTATGTGCAATAATATCCTCACTGTCTTTTAATTCAGTACTTTCTTCATTTTTGACAGTTTTTTTGGTTCTTTTTTTACTTAATTGTGGTGTTGAAGTAATGGATTCAGATTTTAGCTTAGCCTCGCTTACTTCAGCTTGCTTCCTTAATAATTCTGCCTTTAAGCCAACCAGTGATGAGAAGTTGACATTTATCTTCTTTGTCATATTCATGTTTTGTATTATCTGCTGTTAACATTAAATTATTTTAGATTTTATGTATATATTTATAATATAATTTTATGTATATATTTATAATATAATGTATGCAAAAAAAACTATTTTTATAAAGATATTTACACAAACGTGTGTGATGTGGAGTGTGATAGTTAATATAACCTTACATTTTTCTTTAAAAAACAAATAAATCATAAATTGATTTAGATAGTTACTTTCTTGTAAATATTTTGGTTTGTTCATGTACTTACAGATTGTATGGAAGCTTAGAATATGTTTGACAAGTTATACAATATTATATAAATATCGTAAAATCACTTGTACACTACAATATCGGTTTGGTTTGGTGCTCTTTTGCAGGGGGTTCAAACTCGCCTCTTGTCAGAAGGAGAACGCTGGTTTCAGCGCCGCCTAGGCTACCTGCCAGGAAGTAGTGAGCTAAAGAACGAGTGGAGGAAGACTGCCGCCATATTTAAACGCGCGTGTCACGTATAGGATATAGGTATGGGTATACTTATTGGTTGTTCTTTTTCACTGAACTGGTCACACTAGATCAGAGTTTATTCTTTTTCTTTACATTTAGAAGGAAAAACATAAACTCTAACACAGACTGGGCTGTCCTTACGCTGGATGCACACTGATTAGCGGATCTTCATTAATTAATATCTCGTTAATTATTGCAAATCTTCCAAAGGGGTATAGGACTTTTCGTCTTAGAATAACCCTTTCTATCTGCCTACGAGCGGTGAGATGGCAATTACGGGATACCCTGTATATACATAATTTATAATATACGTAGTAGAAAAAAATGAGTAAAAAGAATAAAGCAAAAAAAGTCGTGTGACAGTTATATAAATATACAACCACGTGCACCCACCACGCGCAAATATCGAGAGTGTACTGTATAACTGAATTGACACTGCTTTTTAGCGCATCACTTCTTTTAAGGGCAAATTAATATATTTCTCTTGTAGAAAAAAACGTTCACTCAATGACCACTATTGCAACATTTGCAACGACGCATGCTAAGTAATTAATTAAAAACAATTACTTCTTCAGTTTCTTGTTCCAAAAAGAAAGTCTTATTACACGTTAAGATATTATACGATAAAATATGTTAATTTACTACAAAATAAGGCTTGAACTTTTTTCATAAAAAAAAATCCAATATCGCAACGATGCATGCGAATCGATAAAATAGTTACAAAAAGATTTTATATAAACAGAGTGAGATAGCAGAGGCAGAAGATACTTTGTTGAATCCGTGCTGACATACTAACGCCAGTGTGAGTAACTGCAATCTTGAGAAGAGTCTAAAAATACGTAGATTCGGATCTCATCAGTTTTTTTATAAATCCAAATAACAAAATTTTATTATAAACATCGCAGCACAAGTCAGTATTGCACTGTTGCAATAAATATAATCTATTCTTGTGTATTACTTCGAGAAATTATCGATCCAAAATAGGATCTATCGTCTGGCCGCCGCAAATCTGCCCCCATCCGATCAGACGCCAATGTTTCTCTACGCGTCTGGACAACGCAATCTTTTCATCAATTTCTGTACACACCGGATTTGTCAGACTAATCTTTGCCAAGTCAGCGCGAGTAGCCAATACTCTGCCACCGGTGCTCAAGGAACCTATATTCACTAACAACACTTCTCCTCTTGACAGTTTGGGTACCTGATAAGTCGATATTTGTATAAATAAATAATCATTAAAATAAAGAATCAATTTTTTGTCGTAAGATATGTGCAATTTAATGAAAACACAAACGACTTACCCTTGCGCCCTTTTTATCGCCTTCGGTTCTCACACCTAACAAACGTTTCAGCAGATAATACGAGATTTCGAGTTCAATGAATATTTGTGGCAACGCACCGACGCTCCCGAGAATTTGACCTACTAAACGATCAGCGCGGCACAGAGTAGGCTCAATCTTGGTTCCAACACCTAAATAAAAAAGTACATCCTTGTCAAAATTCTCAATACATTCTCAGTTAACGTTAGCCCTTAGAGAGCTATGCAGCTGAACGCTCCGTAAAGGCCAAAACTTTCTACGTTTAATCCTGCGAGAACTCCAATTATTAAATTGGATTAAATTAAATTATTACTTGGATTTAATTATTAGATGAGATTAAATTCTTCTTAAATGTATTATTTCAATCGAACGGTCCGCCGCAGCGATAGGTTTTGCAAACGGATATATTCACCTTTAGACCATAACAGTTTTCACTGAATGAATATATCCATTTACAGTACTCTAAGAGTTATAATAAAAGAATAACAAGAATATGTGGTAAAAGTTCTTTACCAATTAGACCACCCGGTACAGCAAATTGCAATTCGTTTTGTTCAGCAAACAGAGACACGATACGCGAAAATATTGGACGGCAAGTCAACTTGCCCTCGCTGTCCTTGGACACCAATCCTGGACGAACTTCAATTTCCATACCGACCTATAAAGATTATATTGTTTTATGATAGACACACATTTTGAAAAATCAAAACGTGTTTTGTTCTAGAGTAATTTATCTCATACCTTCAACACACCTCTGAGGATGCTACCTCCAGCGACACCACCTTTCAAGTCATCCACCTCACAACCCGGTTTATTCACATCGAAAGATCGGATAACTATCAGTCGCGGTTCCGATGTGAAATCTCTCATAGGAACTGGAATTTTTTTTGTGATATACTCGCATAATACCTCAATATTATATTTTAATTGCGCTGAAATTGGAATTATCGGTGCACCTTCCGCGACCGTGCCTGATTTAAGGAAAAAAAAATTAAAATGAGAACCAACCAGAGTGTTATGTATATCTATTAAAATATTTTATATGGCTGTCAAAGTCTTATCTCTTGATTTAATAAGATAAAAAAATAAAAAAATAGTTTTATATATTAGAATACTTAATAATGATGAATACAATAATGTACCTTGAATAAACTTCAGAATCTGTTCGTATTGCTCCTTTGCTTGAGCTTCTTTTACTAAGTCAATCTTGTTTTGCAAGATTACTATATGCTTCAGCTTCATAATCTCAATAGCAGCTAAATGTTCCGACGTTTGAGGTTGCGGACAGGATTCGTTACCCGCTGCAATTGGTTAATAAAGTGATTTATTACTCAAAATATAAATGTTGAGACACGAAGCAATTTAATAAAAATCAAACGACAAAATTGTTGTATTGATTACGATCATACCAATTAAAAGTAAAGCGGCGTCCATAACAGCCGCACCGTTAAGCATAGTTGCCATGAGAATGTCGTGTCCAGGGCAATCAACAAACGACACATGACGAACTAGTTGGAATCTTCCTGTACAAGCTGGACGCAAACAAGGAAAAGAATCGTCTTTACTAGAACCTCCTGATATGTAACGTCCAGGTCGAGGACACTTCGGGTTGTCGCATTCGTAAATCTTTGCGTTTGCGTATCCTAAAATGATAAAAACAAATCAGATTATATAAATTTGTTTTTGTTATCTATTTTAAGATTTCTTTTGCAGAATAAAAATTGTGTCGATAGGATAAATTCAACATGTTAGAAAAAGTTTATTTGAAATAAAAATTTAGCTAAAATTAAAGTATTCCAATTAAAGTAAAACAATTAAAATTATATATTTAAAAAGGTATACACTTACCAAGTTTAATAGTGATGTTTCTTTCTAATTCATTCTTAAAACGAACAGTCTGCACACCAGAAATAGCCTTTACAATTGTTGACTTTCCGTGTGCTACATGTCCAATAGTACCTGATACAAAATTGCACTTTTAAAATAGATTATATGCCAATTTATATACTAAAATATCATATACTAAATATGCTTCACAATAATATATATAATTATATTTTTGTGTACTTACCTATATTAATTGTAGCTTGTCTACTGATTACTTGTCGTGATAGTGCAGTTAATTCACTAACAACCTGTGCAAAAGCAAAACAGACATTAAGTTTTCAATATATTAGCAACAACTTAAAAAAGGCAATATGATAGAAAAGTTCATGTTCATGAACAGTGTACACCTTGATAGCTACGCGATTCCTAACTTTATTTCTGGCTGACTAAAGTTTAATTAAAGATAATAAAATTAGCTTTCAATATGTTCTTCACGAAATAAAAGATGAGAGAAATAGTAAAAGACATTTTATACACACGTGCACGCGCACGTGTGTGTACTGGCAATGGAAATGTACAAGAAAAATAATTACAAAACCAGCATTGCGCAAATACAAGATCTCCGAACTTTCGGAGTCCGTTGCGCCACGCCAACGCTTCGGCAAACGTTTTATTGCAATGGTAGCAAAGCACCTACTAAAACTCAAACTCCGATTTCTCATACACTTGAGAGTTGTATCGTTTCCGAATAGCATTTGTTACTCCTAGGTACAATATTACTACACTCCTTGAGCAAACTTCGTTAAAATTTATGACTTCTATTAAGAGTATACTTATGAGATCGTATCTTCTTAAGATTAAAAAAAGAATCATGCCATTGAAAAAATTTTATTATTTTTAGTAACAAAATATTGTTTCATGCGTATACTTGAACGTTACAAGATGAAGACAAGTGTGACAAACGAGGTTATATTGCATGATGAACGAAAAAGCGAGCAAGTTGATGTAACGACTCACCAATTTCGACAAATCTTGTTTGTAGAGATTTGGCTGGCCGGTAGTTATGCCAAGTCCTTCTTCGCCGCCCATTTTCCTTTCTTAAATGATATTGTTAAATGTTCTGGTTAACCAAATGTTACCTTTACGTCAGAAGTTTTCTTATCCACGTTTTAAAGTGATGATCAGCCTAGATGCGTAGCGTCCATACAGAGATACGAGTCTAGTTTCCACCGAAACCCTCAATTCGGTTCCACTCCGGTACAGATCAAATTTAGTGTTCCGTTTCCATTGGAAATTGTCTGTTCTTTTTCCATACTTTGGCTGCACTAGTTCACAGTCTATCTTTTTCCTTTTAACATAGATAAAAAAATATAGACTGTGAACTAGTGCAGCCAAAGTATGGAAAAAGAACAGACCTAATGATGCAACAGCGCTGCTCCCTGAACCCAGCCTAAAGTCTATGTCACACTACGGATTAGGATTGAGATTGGTTGCAATTTGGCCAATCAGAGAGAAGATCACTAAACTTAGGATTGGTTTTCTTTTTTCTAATTGGTCAAATTTCAATCTAATCTCAATCCCAATCCGTAGTGTGACATAGGCTTAAGCGTTCGGTGAGCGGTTGTGCTTTTGGGGTACGTTCCAAAATCTTACCTCGGTAATTAAAAACTATAGTACACGTGACGTAAAATATAGCATTTTAGTAACCAAGGTAGGATTTTGGAACTTACCCTGGATGCGCCCAATAACTTCGAATCGGTTGATTATTCTATTGGAATTAGCCAATCGCATTACTCATTTAGCAGAAGTGATCAATCACGATCGACACTTAACCGAAGTTGGCGAGCCCTTGGCATAAAATATATACGTACATATATGAATATGAAAAGCAACCATCAGGACCATCTTGTTCCGGCGCGCGTCCAAAACCACGTGACATGTTTAAAAGTCGCGAAGTCACTGAGATACGACTTTAAATTCCCTCTTCGTGCCTGCCGGTAGATCCCTCGATGTTCCTGCACGATCAAACGTCCTCTTGTAATCGCCAATCAAACGTCGTATTGAAGTTAAAACGTCACGTACTCTTTTGTATACGTATTTATTTATCTTTAAATATTTGTAAATGATCAAAACCAATAAATCTTATTAAAGTTTTCACAAAAACCTAGAAATACAAGTACTAAAGATAAAAGAACAGACTGATCCGACGAGAACGCAGAAGAAGACGAGAACAGAAGTAGAAGAAAAAGTGTCAAAAAGTGTTGCAAAAAATTGACAACGGTTATCGACGATTATCAATCCGAATATCGATTCTCGATTACCGGAAGACTACCGTGTTGCATCGAGGGCGCAATTGCGCCGTTTGTGTCGACGTCGCGTCGTCACCACCGGGAGTGTAGAACGTTCACGAGACGCAAGAGAAATAGGTGGATATTAGCCTGCACAGAATTTTCTCAGAAAGTGAGTCTAAACTAAATGGCACCGCGGAAAGGAGCAAAACAGGCGGCGACGGAGGCGGATGAGATCGTGATTGCTGCTGCCGACAGCAACGTATCGCCTTCGAAGAAGAAAACTACTGCAAAGACGATCGTCGAGAAGCCGAAGCAAGCTAAGGCGGGAACTCGGCGTGGTAAAGCGGCGGACAAGCGTGAAAACGAGGTGATTGGTAATGAGGCTGCAAGTCCGGTTAAAAAATTACGCGGTAGGGCCAAGAAAGTCGTCACCGCCGTGGTGTCACCGAAAAGCCCTGCAAAAACTATCAACAACAGTACGAAGAATAAATCTAAGAAAACAAACAAGCAGAAGATAAAAACAAACACGGAGGAAAATAATGATGAGGAAGTCTTACAGATAACCGAAAAGAAAACACGTGCCAGAGCAACGACGAAAAAGGCGGGAGCGGTGAAGAAATTGCCCGCCAAGTCAAAGACCACGTTATCAACTGCGAAAAGGTCGAAAAAGGAGACAGCAATCGAGAATGGCGCCGGGGATGCTGAGAGTGCCGGTGATGAAGGGCCTGCGAAGACAACTCGTCGTCGAAAAGCAGTGGAAAAAAGTGTTGCTCCAGTAGCGAAAAAGTCCAAAACTACAAAAAAACGCAAGAGCGAAGATAATAAAAACTTCGACAATGATGAAATCATCGAAAAAGAAAAAAACACAGAGCCAGTTGCCAAGAAATCTCGCAGAGCGAATAAACTGGAAACAGGAGCTGGCGATGTAGGTAAGCTCTGTTTGTTACTTTCTTAGAGACTTTTCTAAATATCTTGTTAGTCACATATGTGTATTTAAATATAATTAACATTTATATATATCATAAATGTAATATCATTAATGTTACATATGCAATTAAAACTATCAAGTTAAAACAATGATTTACTAATGGTACATAAATTATTTAAATTTGTTTAAATTTTATATAATATATATCAATATGTATACTACATGTATTTTCACAGTAGTATTAAAGTAGATTAATAATATTTTACATTAGATTTCTATTATTAATTTAAAGAGCTTTTAATTATTTGCACATATTTGTCAGATTTAAATTTGTTTTATATATACTACTATTTCTATTATATCGTGTATGTATAAACAACATTACTTAGATTCAATTTTTTATTATCTTTAGTCAAGCTAAATCAAGATGTGAAAGTAATAAAACCCAAAGAAAAGACAAAGAAAAAAACTGCAAAAAAACCAGATGCTTCTAAACCAGAAACAAGCATAGGAGAGAAAATAGAAACAACAGAAGAAGAAGAAAACAGCCAAAATGTAACGTTGCAAGAAGACAACATGAAAGAAAAATCTATAAAAAGAACTGTCACTAGAAGAAAGCCTAATACTGTTACTGTCACAGAATCTAAATCAAAGAAGAGAAAAGTAAATGTGAATAAAAAAGCTGAAACAAAAAAACAGAAAAAGGAACAAACTATTACAGACGAGGATGACATAATAATAGATTATGCAAAGAAAGAAGATTTAGCTGTAAATAAAAATTCAACTTTAAATCTGGATGAAACTGTCACAGAAGATAATAATCTTTCAGGTAATGATAACACGAATAATAGTAAAGACGATTCAATGAATTCTTCAGAAATAAAAGCAAATTTTACTGAAATAGAAAGATCGCCATCTTTTCTGTCCTTGTAAAAATTTAGACTGTTAAAGACAACTAGCAACAACTCTAGTTGGGAAAAAATATTAAGATATTTTATATATTTGACTAATCAAACTATGCGCACACAGAAAAAAATTATGCTGATTTCATACAGACTTTCTAATCTGCATATGCACAGCATAAAAAATTAAATTTTAGGATCTCTGATGTGTCATTTTAGCCAAAACTCAATGTGACTTTAATATCAGGTCAAAAATTTTAATAGATATGAACATATTTATTTTTTGCACAGGACAGTAAGGAATATATAGATATGTATAAGTAAAAAGAAATTTACATCTTTCTTATTATTGTAGAAGAGTTTTTAATAAATATAAATGAAAGAGATGTAATAACATTTCAAACAGAACATATTTTTTTACAGATATCTTTTATCAAAAATTTAATATTAAAGTTTTAGCTGGATACCACAATTCTTGATATATATATATATAACAAGTAGTGCCATAAGAAAATTCAAAAGTTGTAAATCTGTAAAAAAATGTTAGGCAACATTTGTTGAAAAAAATATGCAAACTATTACTATATATGTGTATATATATATATATGTATACACATATAACAAACATATGTGTGTATGTATATGTATGTATATATATATATAGTAAATATGAACATCTTATAATATAAAATGTAAATTAGATTGTACAGATTCAGATATCTTGCTGGAGTTTGGATAATAAAAACAAAACCAAAATTTTGAATACTGCTCCTATAGGAATTATAAAAAAAAACGTTATATTTTTCTAAAAGTATAATGAATAATATATCTAAAATACTGTTTCTCCGTTGTCTAGTCTTGTAGCCTTATTGTCTTAACCTTTTACTTGTTTATTTATCTATTGTCTTTCTTCTGTTTTTACTTATTGAACATCATGTTGTTAAAATCCCTTTATTAAAATTAAATTACTAATTAGAATGTTTGTATGTCTTATAAAAAAAAGTGAACATACTACACATATAAGGTTTGATTGTTTGCATATTGTACAATGTATATATGTAAACATCACAAGCAAATTTTTTAAACAATATTACAAAATGAGTATATACATATAATGTATTAGAATTTAAACACTGATGTATGCGAAGTACTACATATATGTATAATTTTTTTATTTCTATAAGATATATTCTCTTACATTATTACTTATATTTAACGCTGTACGAATATTTTTTCTCTTTTCATGTTTTTGGTAAAATAAATTTGAATTTGTCTTTATCTATGAAAGATTATTTTTCCTATACCTTAATATAAAACGCAATATACTGACACTATTATAAAAGAACAAAATACAAAATTATAAATATATTAATATATACATAAAAATGTGTCTGTTATGTGTAAGTTTACAATTTATTTTGAGATAGCAAGTCTCTTTTGCACTAAGTTTTATATTAAATATCAGTTAAAAACTCTTAATAAACAAATGCTTATATATGTGTTTAAAATGTACAATAAAACTTAGCTAAGAGAGAAACTACATTGTTACTTGTAACAAAAAAAACGAATTTCTCTAGTCATTGTTAAACAAGTTTTTTAGCTCATGAGAATTTTAGATAATATACAGGAATCATTATGAGTCAAGATTACAAAAAACCACAGGATGACAATGTGATCTAAAGGTCGTAATCCTAAAGTTGACTGTATATATAGTTATTGTGTAAATTGTAATTGCTTTTATAATTTATACGAAAAAGTTTTCGCAAAATACAAATCACTACGTGATTCAAATGGATTTATTTCATTTATTTCAAAATTTTTGCGTTACAAGTAGCATGCACGCATGAGAAACAAGCGTGACGAGTATTGTAACACCTGCAGATTTGCAGATAGAACTTTTCAAAGAGAGAAAAGAATCGGTTTGCACACAAGAGACAAAAAGCGGACAAAGTAAAGATAGCGTTGCGCACGCGGGATTGGCGGGATATTTGCTGGCAGTCAATAGTTGTGGAGTGGGAGGATTTTCTGGTAAAGGATATGTGTCAAACGAACGAGTTTTTGTTCATCCGGTTTCTCTTATCAATTTGAATGCAGTATACTTGTGTTTACATCTTGCCGCGTGTTTACAACTGCTCGTCTATGATTGGTCACATTACTTACTGCTTAAGGTTTTTGTTACCAGTTTAAAACTATACTCGGTTCAATGAGAGAATAGAACACTATTCACGCATAGGGAGAGGGCTTTCTGGGAGTACGTTCCAAAATCCTATCTTAGTTACTAAAATGCTATATTTTATGTCACGTGTACTATAGGTTTTGGTTACCAGGGTAAGATTTTGGAACGTACCCTGGTAAGAGAGATGCGCAGAACGGATGCATTTTCGTCCATGGATGTCCTGTTCTCTCATTGAACCGAGTATAGTCACTGACAAGTCGAAAAATACAGTTAAACTCTTCGTGGTCAAACCCGTCAAACCTCAAAAATAACCTAGAAGTTAGATCAAGTCTGTGAGACTCACGCGACTTCAATATCTCCGCGAAAAATCAATATTTTTTCAATGTCTTTTTTTGAATCAAAAGTTTGAACACTTCTGCGCCGATGAAAAAAACATTGAAAAAATTTCTAGTAATTTCGAAGATGTAAAAAAAAGTTTTTAAAAACTAAGTTTTTCTAAAAACGCCAATGCGCAACTTCAGAGTGGGTCCGGGAGATGCCACACGTATGACTATCAAAGGATTTAATTTTGTTAAGAACGTTAAAAGTAATTATTATATCTTTTAGTCTAATATCGCATTGCCGCGTTTGTACAAAGATTTCGAAAGCGTTAGTTGACTATGAATTTAGAGCTTTCTAAAGTTTTCTATTCGTTAGCCAATCAAACCTTTGTGCAAAAAAACGCACCAATGCAGTTTGGCTTTAACTTTTGAAATGGCGAGAGAAGCTCGACTGCGCGAATGGCGGCGTTCTCGTCTTTGTTTTGGGTAGCCGTGGTGTGTTCGGTGTGTGTCTGTGCGCGAATTCAACAGATATTCGATGTGGCGTTTGCATCCGGGAGGTTATGGGATTGATGTTTCGGGGTGTGGCATCGTTTCGTTATTCGACTGGTCCGCGAAATGTTTGCGAGATTGTAAAATGCAGTAGCAACATAAACGTCGCGTTAAAACGTTAGGTCCGAAATATGTCGCGATAATTGGTGACAATTACGAAGGATTCGCCCGGGAAGGATTCTTCGTGCGTATTTTTTTCTTGTGTTTTCTTTTTTTTTTTTTTTTTTGGTTTTTGCCGTGAGATCTGTTTGTGACACTCTTTTGTCGTGATTAAGACAACAAGAAGAGAAATCTCAAGACGCAAAGCGAAAGTGATATGTTCGCAAAACTTTCAAATCGATCCGCGCGTTAACGCGCGACGTTGTTCTTGATAATTCACGCGTAGTTATATCGTAGTTGTCAAGCTGCACGACGACGAGGCAAATTGTGGTCCATGAAATCACGTGTAATAAACACAACGTGGGATGTTGAGCGCAACCGCCCTCATTCAGCCCCACGAATACACCGAGATGTCTCGGTTAGCCGACTATTTTGTTGTAGTCGGCTACGATCACGAGAAAGAAAGTAAGTCGTTACATCAATTGCGTAACAGTAGCTTCAGATATATTCACTATTTTTTGTATCCATTTGAAAGACAAATCAATCACGCACCCTATATAGAAAAATTTAAAAAAATACGTACATACATGTGTATATATTGTTGAAATTTATATAGGAGGTGGTGTAAGTAATGGAGTTATATTACAACGATTTCCTGAAAAAGATTGGCCTGATACACCTTTTATTGAAGGAATAGAATGGGTAAAGTAGCATCTGTTTGCATATAAATTTGCTTTGTGTCAGCATCTTGTTTGCATAAATTTTTATTTCACATAGTTTTGTCAACCGCAAGGATGGGCCTTGTCAACAGAGAGACAAGAGCCACGTTTTTTTGTTTCGATATTAACGGATATTGATGCAAATCGACATTATTGCGCCTGTATGTGCTTCAATGAAACTGTATCGATTACACCGAGCAAACATGTGGACGAGGAAGAGGATCCTGTAGATGGTGATAGTAGTCGGTCGCTAGTCAGGCCATTACCTGCCATTGCACATCACAGCATTATGTATGCACCCAAATGTCTGGTGCTGGTTTCCAGACTTGATTATATAGAAACATTTAGAGTACGTGATAATGTGTTCACACACTCAACTGTAACATTTTTTTTTTTTTCTATCAGCTCTTTATCTCAACTCTATTAACAGAGATTGGTTTATTGAATTCTTACAGAATTGTCTTGGAATTATTTACACAGTATATGTGGAGAATGTTGGAATACCCTTAGAGACATTAGTTGGAAACATATTAGGATGTATTCAAGTACCTCCAGCTGGTGGACCGCAAGTGCGATTCAGCATCGGGGCGGGAGATCGTCAGGCGCTTCAGCCACCAATTAGTCCTTCTCTTCCTATTACTCATACTAGTGTAAACTTATTATTTCAGCAACTAGGTAATAATAACGTTAAATATGCGACTTAATAACACAAATGCTTTGTTGCGGGTTTCATTTCTATTGTGTTTTCAGGTATTCGTAATGTGCTAGTGTTATTTTGCGCAGTCATGACAGAACACAAGATACTTTTTCACTCCGCCAGTTATTCCCGACTGACTGAAGGATGTCGCGCTCTGACGGCATTGATGTATCCATTCAGATACTCGCACGTTTACATTCCTCTTTTGCCAGCGGCTTTAGTCGAAATACTCAGCACTCCAACTCCATTTATTATGGGTGTGCACAGTTCCTTGAAGCACGAAGTTGCGGAACTTGTAAGTACACATTCTGTATGAACCTAAATATTTTATGATTGATTTTTTTCTTCAACACGTCAATTTTTTTATCATTGCAGATGGATGTAATAGTCGCTGATCTTGATGGAGGCTCTATAACGGTTCCAGATGGTGTTTCGCTCGCTTTGCTGCCGGAACCGTTACTCTCACAAACGCAGGATGCATTGTCCTTGGTATTGCAGCCAGAATTAGCGTGCGCAGATTACGCTTTTCCTCCGCTTGCTACCAGGGCACCACATTCGCCTATGCTCGACAAAGAACTTAGAGCTGTGTTTATGAGAACGTTTGCTCAATTGTTACAAGGATATCGTAGCTGTTTGACACTAATACGAATACATCCGAAACCAGTTATAACCTTCCATAAAGCGGCGTTTTTAGGAGAAAGAGGTTTGACGGGTTGTGATTTCACCACGCGAGTCTTGGATTGTATGTTTTTTACGTCTTTTATTGCGGAACGAGGACCGCCGTGGAGGCCTTGCGACGTATGGGATGAGCTGTACAGTACTCTGAGCGATCAGTTGAAGCAGGAGGCTCAGGATCATCGAGTTATCTTGACACATATCCAAGAATTGGCGCAACAATTATATTTAAACGAAAATCCAAATCCGCAACCGTATGTGCAGAAGATCTTAAAGCCACCCGAGGGCGCATTCGCGAGAATTCATCAGCCTCTCTTGCCACGTATCAATCCTGAACAAGTTCAAGCGATCATCGACGAAGGCCTCGCAAAAAATAATCTCAAAGTACGACTGTCTTCCTTACGGCCGATTCAGCCTCGTATCGTGCCAATGGGTCCGCACATCTCGTTCGTTCATGATACTAGACACCTGGTCAGCAACTCCGCTCGTAGACTCGAAGTATTACGTAATTGCATCAATTGTATATTCGAGAATAAAATTTCAGATGCTCGCAAAACGTTTCCGGCCGTCTTGCGAGCTTTGAAGAGCAAGGCCGCTCGTTTAGCACTTTGCATGGAACTTTCTCAACATGTAGTTGGAAATAAAGCCATGTTGGAGCATCAGCAATTTGATTTGGTCGTACGTTTGATGAACTGCGCGTTGCAAGATGACTCTTCGATGGACGAGCACGGAGTCGCTGCCGCGTTGCTTCCACTTGCCACCGCGTTCTGCAGGAAACTGTGCACCGGCGTTATCCAATTTGCCTACACCTGCATTCAGGAGCATTCGGTATGGCAGAATCAACAATTCTGGGAAGACGCGTTCTATTTAGACGTGCAAAAAGATATTAAACGCCTGTATCTGCCGGGCGACAATTCGCCACCGAAGCTTATAAACGATTCCATTCTGAGTCCTATTAGTCCCCGAGACGGCAAGGAATTTCCATATCGTGATCGATATTCCATATATCAGGTTCAAGAACCCTCAGCGCTAGAAATAGCTGCAGATCAAATGCGTATCTGGCCTTCCATCAATCCCGAGAAGCAGAAGGAACTTGTAAACAGCGAGGAAAGCACCATGTACAGCCAGGCCATTCATTACGCCAATCGAATGGTATATCTGTTAGTGCCGCTGGATATTGGCTCGAAGACGCATCGTCAAGATCACGTTTACGACGAAGAACGTGCTAGCAACAGCATCACAAACAGCGTGGCGAGTGACAGCGGAGATGCCGAATCTGGATTCGAGGAGACCGATCCGGGTGAAACCGGCAGTGCCGTCATTCGAATGGTATCGCGATTCGTCGATCGTGTCTGCAATGAGGGTGGCGTTAGCGCCGAACACGTGCGCTGTCTGCACCAGATGGTCCCAGGCGTTGTTCACATGCATATCGAGACGCTCGAGGCGGTCCATAGAGAAAGCAAGAGACTACCGCCGATACAGAAGCCAAAGATTCTGACGCCTAATATGCTGCCCGGCGAGGAAGTAATAATGGACGGTTTGCGCGTTTACCTGCTGCCCGATGGCCGGGAAGAAGGCTCTGCGGGACTCCCCAAGATACCGCCTCTCTTACCAGCTGAAGGTGCGATCTTCCTTACGAATTACAGAATAGTATTCAAAGGTATACCGTGCGATCCGTTCGCCTGCGAACAACTGGTTGTTCGTGCTTTTCCCGTGACGTCCTTGACGAAGGAGAAACGTGTTGCTGTGCAACATTTGGCACATCTGGACCAGTGTCTTCAAGAGGGCCTGCAATTGCGCTCCTGCACGTTTCAATTGATCAAACTGGCCTTCGACGAAGAGGTCACGCCCGAAAATATCGATACCTTAAGGAAATTGGTGCACAAAGCACGATATCCGCCACATATTTTCCACCATTTTGCATTTAACGGTCAAATCCTGGTTACGCAGACAGCGCATCACAAAGGCAAGGAGAAAAATGCGACTTTGAAAGGCTTTGCGAAGAAGACACTGCTGAAGACTGCGCGAAAGGCTGGTTTCAAGCCGAAACAATCGTCCAAGCGGCAAAAATATGTATTGCCAAATATGAATCTCATTAACAGCAATAAGTACATGACGTCACCTGGCCGGATGAGTCTACCGATGACCGATAGCAACGATCTTAGTCATGACGATGATCTCAGCGTGGACGATTTTGAGATCCCCAGCATGATAACGCAGGCGCCACCTACTGATGCCAAAACTCTGGAACGATTATCCGAGCGTAGCTACGTTAGAGATTGGTACCGATTAGGGCTTTATACGAACGGGCCGCATAACAATCGTCGTAACGAACCGTTTCGATTAACTTCGGTAAACTGCGCCTACATGATGTGCCGGAGTTATCCCGCACTTCTAATCGTACCTACTTCAGTATCGGACGAAAGTATTCGGCGATTTTGTCGACTTCACCGGCACAGCAGGATGCCGGTTGTCACCTGGAGACATCCGCGAACAAAAGCGTTGTTGATCAGAGGAGCGGGTTACCACGGAAAAGGTGTGATAGGGATGTTGAAAGCTCATCCGACCTCTGCTAGTAATCTGAAGACAACATCGTCGGAGACCACTTCTTCTTTGGAGCACGAAAAATATATGATGGCGCTTGTCGCTGCGACGCCGCTGTCCGTATTACGACAAGGCTCTGCCTGGGGAATGTCCGACAGCTCTCTAAGCATAGATTCGTTACTACTGGCAGCGGAAGATCGTAACGCTACGCCCGAACAGTCACGTCGCAATTTGTTTAATAAACCTTTGAGCACTCTGAGCTCGTCGGGCAGTAAAGGTCCTAAGAACTTCGGTCGATGGGGATCTTTAAAGGACAAGAGACACAATTCACAAGCTTCTTTAACCTCCGTTCATCATCAGCGCGGAACCGTAAGACATTCCGCGGATTCTGACAGCGGCACAGAATGCGTGCACACATTCCAGCGCGCAGCTCTTTACATTCTGGGCGAAAAAGCGCACATGAAAGGCGTGAAGACAGAATCCACTCCCAAGACGGACTTTATCCCAGTAGAGTACTATGACGTGAGACATACGAAAGCGGCGTTTAAAAAGCTGATGCGAGCGTGTGTGCCAAGTTCACCAAACATGGAACCCGATCAAAGCTTCTACAGGCTTATTGAGAGCTCGGAATGGTTGCAACAGCTACAGAACTTGATGCAGTTAGCTGGAGCGGTAATCGATCTTATGGACATGCAAGGTTCGTCGGTGGCTGTGTGTCTGGAAGACGGTTGGGACACTACGACCACCGTTTGTTCTGTGGCGCAGGTGTGCCTCGATCCTCATTATCGAACAATCGATGGCTTCAGAACATTAATTGAGAAAGAGTGGTTGGGATTCGGTCACAGATTTGGTCACAGAAGTAATCTTGCCGCAAATTCGCAGACAACCAATTTCACGCCTACATTTCTGCAATTTCTCGACATAGTTCATCAAATACAAAATCAATTTCCTTTGGCATTCGAGTTCAACGAATACTATCTCAAATTTCTGGCTTATCACTCAGTGTCCTGTCGTTTTCGCACGTTCTTGTTGGACTGTGAATTTGATCGAGTGGAATGTGGTATTACCGCAATCGAGGATAAACGAGGATCTCTGACGAGTCATCACAAAGGTGTGGATACTGGTAGTGACGACGAAACAATTTATCCTGGCGGTAGACTAGCGGGAACGAATACCGGTTGCAATCTCGGGCAAAGTATATTCGATTACATCGAAAAACAGCACGCGAGATGCCCGTTGTTTTACAATTTTATGTACACGCCTAACACGGAGAATCCTGTTTTGCGACCAGTATCGCATCTGCCGAGCCTTGATATATGGCAGTTCTATTTAGAAGAGGAATTGGCACATGGTCCGGCGTATGATTTGGAGGTATTACAACAAGACTCCCAGCAAGAGGAAGAGGCCGAAGCTGCGGACGGTGTAGTAAAGAGCAACCGTAAAGTCGTAACTCAAGGGTAATTATTATTTTACAACTTGTATTGTCATTTAGTATGGTTTGTACAAACACACACACAGTTGCTATATTACACTATCCACTTTAGATACGACGGTGTCAGCACAATGATTCCCGATCAGTTCTCGCATCTTTTGGAAGAAATTCATAAGCTAGAGACCGAATTGGGTCATTTGCCACAAAAATGGAAAGTACTTTGGGACAAACTCGAGCTACCGAACACCGACTCACTTGCTGTAAGTCAATATTGAATATTTGCTAATATTACATAACGTAATGAAAATTTTATTTATTATTTTATTAAACGAAAAAAGCTCGATAGTTTTTATTCTATGTATTTGATTGTAAAATATGCATCTTGTTTATAAAAAAAACTATTTGATGAATTTCTCTACCTATCTCATAAAAGGATGAAAAAGAGATTCGTTTAGTTTAGAAACGCGCTTTTTGCGCGTGGTTTAAATTATTGTAATTATTGTATTAGAATTATGTGACTGTCACACCTAAATCGAGTTTTTTTTTTTTTAGCGTCATGCGTCATTTAGTACGGCACTCGTGCGAAACCACGGTCGATTGATTCACAAACGGTCTACTCTGGAACTGTTATTACGCGGCAAACTGGCTGGTGGAAACACTACTGGAAACGAAGGTTCTGTTTACGCACATCCACACAGGTATGTTAATATTGATTTCTAAAGAAAAAACATTCGCACATGTAACTTTAATCCGGGAACAGTTAGATATCATTTCAGTAATACAAAAGTGGTATTTGTATTCGCGTACCATTTACGTTCCCAATACCAAGAAATCTTCTCGGATTAAAAAATTATGACGAATTTAATGTGTTGAAGATTCGAACGACTGGATTCCGCGACGCCGACTCACTGCGACGCATGTTCCGGAGTGTTATGGGGTCCCGTAAAAGCCGGCTTAAGATGTATCGACTGCGGACACGTGTGCCATGACAAATGTGCGGACGCAGTGCCAAAAAATTGCACAAAATACAAGGCTGTGACAGATAATCTTCAAACTCACACACTTACAAGAAGTGGCGGCGATAACGGAAGCGTAAATTCGAGTAAGCTCTGCTTTCACTTTTTCAATTTTATAACTAAGTTGTTTTATAATTTGTTGCGCTAATTTTATATTGAATATATTTCATATTACATTTATATTAATTTTATTTTACTTTTACATGTTGATTTTGTACTTTTATTTCGATCTTGTTTTATAGGTGTAACGACTATACAAACTTCTTCTCAGCAATATTACGAACAATTTTCAAGTAACGTGGCGGAAAATAGAACGCACGAAGGTTATCTTTATAAAAGAGGAGCTCTATTGAAGGGTTGGAAACAGAGATGGTTCGTATTAGATTCCATAAAGCATCAATTGAGATATTATGATGCAGTGGAAGACTCGCACTGTAAAGGATACATAGGTATGATAATTGTACACAATCAAATATAAACAACAAAAAGAACTGTTTGAAACTAAACGAAGTACGTGTGTTACGAAATTTATGTATTGCAGATTTGGCTGAGGTAGTATCTGTTACTCCAGCTGCACCAATGCCCGGACCACCAAAGAAAACAGATGATAAATCCTTTTTTGATGTAAGTATTTGTTTATAATTTTTTAACGAACAACGAGCGACGGCTAAAAGTTGCAGACTGTTGTTAAGGAAGGTGTCCTTGACAACATATGTTAAGGACAATGACCTCCCCGAGAGTGCTCCGTTTTTATACATATTTATCCATTACTTTGTTCTTTGATTTTATCGTACAAATATCATAGAATCGCTTTTATTGCAGCTTCGTACAAACAGACGGACGTATAACTTTTGCGCTGCTGATGCAGTCACGGCGCAGGAATGGATTGAAAAAGTTCAAGCGTGCTTACAATAAAGTATCTACAGTTTTTTCCTCTTTCTCTTTCTCTGTGTATATGCGTGCGTGGGTGGTACAAGCGTGTGTATGTGCGTGTGCGTGCGTATAAACGCGTCGCGACTACTTAGGTCTAATTTAAATTTTCTAGATGTGACTGATATAGAGAGTAAAATACATTTTAATTTTGTTACATAATCTGTATAGTCTAATTACATCGCTTTATATAGACTGCAGTAATCCTGCTTTAAGAATTTTAAAACGTATATGAACTTCTGTTGGACTGAAAATATAGTATCATAAATATTGTGATACATCTCGGTATATCTTCGATGTAGGATTAGTATTATGAATTATAAATGTACATTGTGATTATGCCTCGTTATGTTAAATTTGTATTCTCATTTAAAAAAAGTTATATAAATATATCGCGCCTGAAAACTTTTTATTTTGGTTAATGTTTTCTGATGTTTAAAATATTAATGGAATATATAAAGAGCATATGAATTGAGTAATTTCATTGTAATGTTAATATATATTACAGAATCTCAGGATCATTACAATATCTATAAACTATGAGCAAATTTTTTTTTATACAAATAAATAAATTAAGTCTATAAACGAATTTTAAATGATTACAGTTGCTAATCGCAAAAATTAGGTTTTAGAGAAATATGAACAAATAAACATTTATTTCTGTCTCTCTCAAATAAATCTAGAAAGTTTTGTCTCTTTCCTTTTGTGGAAATTTTGACTACTACACATATCCCATATTTCCTCACACACATGATTTTAATCACAAAGAAAACTTAGCTGCAAAATATAATCTTGATTGACATAAGATAATAAAGATTAAATGCACAGAACCAGCTGTTTTATTAAAACGTACAAAAAAATATACAATACATAAGATTGTACAATACTATTAATATCTCTTCAAGATTGTGGTCTTGTTACACCGTAACCTCTTTTTGGCACGCAAAATTTATTTTTCTATATATAATCTGGTGTTTACATCATTATAAATGTGCTTGATACGCTGATTTAATACGAATAGTGCTTAATACACGTATTAACCGATCGGTGTAAACTAGGTCTATGTATCTTAAGCTTGCAACACACAAATGCTTTTCTTTGTGCTATGTGTAGAAGTATCATAACAATTTGTATTTTAATCAATTTTAAATTATGATTGATCGACTTTTTGCTTATGTGCTGTCTAGCACAGAAAAGTATTGTGCACTGCAAACTTTTATACATTATTTTATATTACACATAAGTTATTCACTAAAATCTTCTTCGTCACTGAAGTAAGTATTTCTTTTATAACGTTTCTTTGGTATAGTCGAATTTTCTTTTCTATCATATTCGTCTATTTCTTCTCTACGTTCCATATTAATTCGTTTTTGCTGTAATGTAAAGTAAATCATGAAAATTTTAGTTCTTTTAATGACTAGATTTTTTTTGTTTTTCATTTTTTCAGCCTTTAATCTAACAATAATTGTGATTATACCTCCATTGCAATAACAGAGCTTAATGTTTCTATGTCTTCTTCTTCTTCTTCTTTTTCTGTATCATTGTCAGTATCATCATTGTTATATTTTGATTTTCTGATCGTTTCATCCTCACTATCAGAATAATTCATATTGCACGTGTCTTGCTTTGTAGTTTTCTTTCGTGTCTTGACTTTCTTTGGTGGTGGTTTTCTGGGACCTAACATGTTGTTATTGCAACAATATGACAAGTGTCCTTCTTGTCCACACTCGTAGCATTGCGATTTATCAGGATAATCCCTGTGACGTATGAACTCAGTGCTACGACCATTGTCAACTGCTATTGAACTTTTTACAGTACGACCAAGTATCTATTGATATCAAATAAAAAGAATAAATAAAAAAAATTATTAAATGTTGAAGCAGACGTTTTGACTATTTATTTAGTCATCTTCAGTAGCAAGACTGTATACACTTCTAAATTGTAAAGCTTGCGGAGATTAAATTATGTGTGTGTCATGTTCGAATGTTTCTGACAAGTGTTTAAACGAATATAGATACAAAATGTAAACAGTAAATTAAAGAAAAATACACACCTCAGTGTTATTCAAAGCTTTTGCACAAGATACAGCATCCTCTATTTTGAGAAATAACACAAATGCGACTCCGCGACTCCGTCGCGTTATTTTATCTTTTAATACAGTTATTCTGAAAATATACGTGTATATATTTTTATAAAATAAAGTGATATAATTACAAAATTTATCACTCTAAACTCACTTGACAATTTTTCCATAACTCTCCACTAGCTGATATATATCATTGTTTGTTAAAGAAAATGGTAGATTCGATATATAAACAGTCGATTTACTTGGAACAATAGAGTTGCTCATATTTCTAAAATTTCTAAATTCTTATTTTTAATAGAACAATTACTATTCCTCGGTTTCTGCACTATATATGTATATAAAGCCTCGTCTACAATAGTCGCACAGGCTGTGTCGCATGTCGTAATTACCCGATAGTTTACCTGAAAGCGGAACAACCGGCCCTAAGGCTGTGTTCCAAATTTACTGTCAGCGCTGCAAGTATGTCGTCATATGAAAGCAAGCTACCAACATCGTTCCAATTTTGCTAAGCATGTTATCAGCACAAATATAGGTTTCAAATTGGAACAATATTTTGGTGAGTTTCAATGCCAATAGCAGAGAAAGTAAACACAAAACAGATATAATCTAACCCAAAAATATGGAAAACAATATGCAAAAGATGAATATTTGAACATCATATCAAAGAAATATGTGACTCTTGCTTTCTCAGCGTCTTCTGCTGATATGGCTAAATTGTATTTGATATTATTTTCCACATCGATTAACGTTAATTGTTCCATGGTAGTCGCTATCTTTAATGCTTTATCTGCTTCATCTCTGTGGTCGCAGTAGTCACAGCAGGAAGTGACGACAATATTAATGACGTCGTTATGCTTTTGCAAGTGCTGCCAGCGCTGACAGTAAATTTGGAACACAGTCTCTGATTGGTCGAGAGCAACCAGCCTGTCTATTCAGACCTTGATTGTAAACGAGGTCTGTTCTTTTTGGACGCGCAAGACGCAGATGAACTCGTTCTCTTGACTTATGATTTTTTAAGAAGCAGGACGACTGATTCGTAGATTATACGAAATGAGGTTTGTACACGGTGATGATCTAATAATTACGTGCTAATATTTAAAACAATGTGATATTTATATACATTTTGGCTTGTAATACAATGCTTTGCTTGAGTCGTACGTATCAAGTGCAATTTTACGAAGAAAATTTGCGTTTATACACCGCATCCCACGTGTGATTTATCGATCTCTTACACATACGGACGTATCGTTACAAAATGACTTTTTTTATTCTAAAAGAAAGAAATTTCCATAAACACATAATTTTTCTCTCCATAACGAACTTGCATACAAATATAAATATGCAATTCGCAACAAAGAAAAAAATCTGTATTATACATAACCTTTTTCTTCTAGTTCGTTAAAACTGCAGAAGAGGCTAGCAGCCTCTGTTATGCGATGTGGCAAGAAGAAAGTATGGCTAGATCCCAATGAAATCAATGAGATTGCAAATACAAATTCTCGTATGTTTTGTTCTCTTATAATCTAGTGTTAGTTCCTGTATCTATTTATTGTACTAAGAAATTTATTTTTCTTTCAGGGCAGAATATCAGAAAATTGATTAAGGATGGTCTTATTATTAAGAAACCAGTAGCTGTACATTCAAGAGCTCGTGTTCGTAAGAATACAGAGGCAAGACGTAAGGGTCGTCATTGTGGTTTTGGTAAAAGGAAGGGTACTGCAAACGCACGTACACCTCAAAAAGTAGGTATATTTCTACAATTACGGAAACTCATTTTTTTTCTTTTGTACAGTGAGATTAAAATTTTTCTCATTTGATGCAACAGGATCTCTGGATTCAAAGAATGAGAGTACTTCGTCGTCTCTTGAAGAAATATCGTGAGACAAAGAAGATTGATAGACATCTGTACCACTCGTTGTACATGAAGGCAAAAGGAAATGTATTCAAGAACAAGCGAGTACTGATGGAGTTTATTCATAAAAAGAAAGCGGAAAAAGCTCGCGCTGAGATGCTATCTGATCAGGCCGAAGCTCGACGAACTAAAGTTCGGGAAGCACGTAAACGTCGTGCTGAGCGTATTGCTTCTAAAAAGCAAGAGCTTTTGCAATCTTATCAACGAGAAGACGAGGCTGCGGCCGCACAGAAAAAGTAATTTTTCTTCAACGTATTGTACAATTGTTAATAAATGATATGAAGAAAATCTATAAACCCATCTTTTTTATTTTTCAATATTAAATTTAAATTGATACAATAAAAATGAGAAGAAAATTTAAGTACACTTGTAAAACATTTAAAAATTTCTACAGTTACTATTAACAAAAATTGTACAACTAAAAGGAGTACCAAGATTAAAAAACAGTGTTGGCGCACTGTTTATCCTTTTTATTTAATATATTTGAGAAAACAATTATGTATAATTTACATAATAAATATATATATATGTATGTATAGTCCTTCATTATTTTACGTTTTCTTTGATTACAACAGGAAGATTTACAATATGAAGATTTTGTATACGACTCTAAAGTTTGTATCAAACTACGGATTGAGATTAGATTTAAATTTGATCGATTAAAATAAAGAAAACTCATTAAGAATTTCAAGTTTAGTGAACTGTGCTCTAAGTGATCAAATTTCAATCCATAATTTATTACGAACATAATTTGTATTTCATCTACATTTCATACAAAATAAAAATTAAACAATGCGTCAAAACATGTCTAGCGCGACTTGAATCTTATTCCCTAATAACACATATGTATAAAACATGAAATATTTATGTATAAAACAGAAATATGCATATAAATATAAAAGATTAAATAATAAAATATTTGCTTCTTTTAACGTCAAAATTCAAAATGGCTACAAGAATGCCGGTCTATGATTAGTTGATTTCCTTAATGCTTAAGTATTTTCGTGTTCCTGACTTTAAGACCGGCTATTTTACATAATAATGGTCATTTGTTTTGATGGCATCATAAGTGAAAAATATGACGGCGATTCTTGCGGACATATAAGTAATAAAAAGTAATCTCGAGCTTTAGGAGATCTACCTATTCTCGTATTATCTTATTTATCGGGAAAGTTACGGTCTCTTCCTTGACATATTCTTAAGAATTATAACAGATTCCTGGCCTAAATCCATGTCAGTATTCTGTTTCAAACACTGTTGTTTCTCATTTGTATATTCTACTATTTCGGTTTGTTCCTCAACATACTGTATCACTTCTTGTATTCGGTTGTCAATACAATTCTCTGATATACTACTTTCAGGAACTTTTGTTATTATTTTCTCTTCCTCCATAAATTCTTCAACTTCTTCGACCACTTCTTCGACTTCTTCAAAGTCCGGTGTAACTTGAACAGGTTGATAATTCTGGTAGGATTGATGATCCGCTTCCTTGGCAGCATATACAATCATACTGCTATTTGTATCCTGCATAATTATCTGCGTATTATCGATGATATCTGATTGCTCTTGATAGTTTTCGATTTGATTGTCGCTAGAAACCATCAAAATTATGGGCTCGTCTTCCATCTTGTTAGATTTCATATTATGTTGCAACATGTCCAACTCCATATCTGGTAAAATATATGTGTCGTGTGTATCTTTCACCACTAAGGTATGCTGTATTTGATGCGCATTCTTTTTACTTTCAGCAGGTACGGAAATCTTAGTATCATTGCTAAAAACCTCAGCTGTTAACGATTTATCCGATGGAGTGGGCGATGTAGACACAATAATCTTCGTTTTATCTTTCAGCATTTTTTTGTGCACACAATCTAAATGTACGGAGAAATTGAATAACTGTCTGAATGATTCGCCGCAGTACTTACAACGATGAAATTTCAGTTTCTCTCTATCCGTCGCGCTTTTGTGTTTATTACTCGGTTTGTGAGTTGAGAGTTCACTTTCGAACAACTCTTGTTGATTTTCCTCTGAAGATGGAGTGTGATGCTGAGCAGTGCTGGGCTGATGATGATATTTCGTTATGTGAGAGTTGGAAGTTGAGGATTCGTCTTTAAGCGACTCATTGCGTATACTGTGCTGAATCTCCTCTGAAGATGGAGCATGACTCTTAGCAGTGGGCCGATGATTATATTTCATCATGTGAGACAACAGAGGTAATTCTCTCACAGCGACATACGAACAGACATGACACTTATAAAAACTTACATCTTCAGGTAAAGGTATCTTGTGCTCATTATAAAGATGACATATCATATAATCTTGCTTTTTCGTCTTATAATCACAATACTGGCAAGTTTTCTCAGAAAGTAAATATTTCTTCTCGTGCACATCGTACATGTGTCTTCTGAACATATCATAATTTGTGTATTCTTTATCGAAATTACACTTGTTGCACTTCCAAGGACCTTTCTCACTATTATCATTATTATCATCATCACGGTTCAAGTTCTCATCATTGTTATTATTACGTAACAAATATTCAGATTTAAATAACACATATGACGTTTTTGTACAAGTTTTACTATCGGACGAGTTTGCTTTTTTTTGCATAATTTTTACGCGAATATTTGAATTATTTTTTGCTAAATGAGGATATTTCTTTAATACTTCTTTTACGATATTCGCATGATTGTTAACAGAATCTTCATTATTCGGCTGTAAATCCAACTTGAGTTTTTTTATGTTTTCCTTTTCTTCTGGAGACACACGAGAATATGTTTTTTCAGACGGTTTATCTTGAGATTGCTGGACATTTTTTGATATACTTTCATTACCCAAATTTGTATCTGTCAGATTCTTCTTACTTTTTTCTTTTTCCACATTTTTTTGAATCATATTATTTTTGCTTTTCTTATCCAAAGAACATTTACGAATGTAACTTTTGTTTCCATGTACATTAGATACTTGATGAAAAGGTTTCATATCATATCTAATATTGTCAAAAGATGAAAATATTTCTAAAGCACTATTTGCTTCTGGAAAATCAAATCTGGATGGACCAGATGTTGTCACTTCAGAGTTGTGTATTGATGTGCTAACTAGTCTTGCTTCAGAATTAATTAATGGAGCATCCAACTTTCTTTTCCAAATAGGAGGGCTTTAACAACAATAATATATTTACAAATTAATAATGATTCGTAATAATGAATAATAATTATATATATATACACATATATATAACACATTAACAGCCAAACTATGTCAGTATGTTTTCTAGATAGAAATAAAGAATAAAATGTTATATAACACAATTTTGTCATTAAATGATTTGTCAATTTTGTTAATTTATTAACCCTTTGCAACTTCTAAAACAGTTTACTAGTTGAATCTGCGAGATCCACGCGACTTTAAAATCAAATATCTCCGCAAAAAATTAATATATTTTAAATTTTGTTTTTTGAATCAAAAGTTTGAACAATGCTGTGTCAATAAAAAAATAAAAATAAATTGAAAAAATCTTTAGTAGTTTTGAAGATATAAGAGTTTTAAAAGAACTAATTTTACTTAGAGATACCAATTTTAAATTTTTGATCTATGACCGTGTCAGTTCACAAAAGATTAAATATAAACTAAGATACATACTTTTTATCTGATTTTTCTTCTAACAACTGCTTAGATGATGATAATGGTAAATCGATAGAACTGATTGGTTTGGCAAAAGGTGAAGACTCTTGGACATCTATTATTTGTTGTGTGGAACAAGATTTTTCTATATCAGTTATTTGTGAATCGCTTGTAAGTTCCAGATCAAGCAATTTTGTTAGCACTGTCATATCCATCTTTTGTGCGGTGCAGTACAAGTCATCCTGTTCTGATGACCAATATTCTAATTGCCCGGTATACATAAAGCTACACATGCAAAGATAGAATTATATACATGTATAGTAAGCAGACATTATGACAATATATTCATAAGTATTTTATATGTACCGTATAATAGGCTTTACACACTCATAAGACATATCTAAAGGCATAGTAATAATGCCATTAGAAGTATTTTCTTTTTGCTGTTGTTCTAGTTTTAAAAAATATTCTGTAAATGTCAATAGCACAAGTCGATGAGCCTGTGATAAAATATATATTAATAATAATAGTTTTGTAATATAATTAAAAATGTTTGATATTGACTACAGTACTGTTCAAATAAGTTGTGCTCTGTTTTAAATAATCCTGATTATACTCATACTATTTTATAAATTATATATACATTATTTTTACCTCTATAATAATGTCATTTGTGGGAAATACAATTTTAAGATCAAGGAATTGTTCCTCGGAATAAAGTTGCTGAAGTCGCTGGAGAAAGAACGTTCCCCAATTGTCTACCTTTACTTGTTTCAACTCCCCAGAAGAGAATAAGTTATTTTGACTTATTTGTTGTGTTTCCATCTTAGAAATGTGTGTCACAATTTTGATCTAATTCACTAAAGGTTATCGTCAAAAATTATCACATATTGTATTTGCACTGAATAAATGGTGTTAGTGAACTAAGACAAAACAAGAGCAGACCAAAGCAGATAGGGTTTCTCGATTGATTATGGTCTACGTATGTATAGGCTGCGTTCCGAGTTACGCATATACGCGCGATTATCTATACTATACGTCACGTGTACTATAGATAAATGTGCACATATGCGTAACTCGGAATGCAACCATAGGCTGCTTTCCTTTTAAGAGACACAGTCGACACAAAAGTCATTCTGTCTTTGTTCAGTATTCAGTGAGAAACAAAGACAGAATGACTCTTGTGTCGACTTGTGTCGACTGTGTCTCCTAAAAGGAAAGCAGCCATAGACTACTAATCATGAAAAGGATATCTATAGGATCTTCAGAAATTAAGTTTCTATTGGCTTGCATTCGATTTTATATTGGAATATGAATTGAAATTGAAGATTAGTCAATCAGAACACAAAAAGTGGATATTTCTTTCACTTTACTTCATTCTAATTTGTTAATAATTTCAAACACACTACGCGTATTCCAAGATGACATGGGTCTCTTAGACTCATTCAAAAATTTAAAGCCAAGGATCGATTCACGCAGAGTAGTGAAAATTACAAATGTGAGCGAATTTACTAAAATATCTATGATTTTATTGGTCAACAACAAAGTAAATTTGCTCACTTTTGTAATTTTAACTACATTGCATGGATACAGAATCGACCCCCCCGGCGTCTAGTAAAATTAGTTTTTTCAAAACGTTTTATATTATCTTTAAAACTACTGAAGATTTTTTCAATTTGTTTTTTGTCGACGCAGAATTGTTCAAACTTTTGATTCAAAAATACAAAATTTGTAAAAATATTGACTTTTCGCAGAGATATTCGATCAAATACCGATCACAGTCTGATCTATTTAAAATATAAGATTTGACCATGATTGCGTCCTGATATTTACTGCCAGTACCAAAAATCTATACGTCACGTCATATAGAGATATTATGTTATAGATTTCCGTCCACTGACAGTGAATATCGGAATGCATAGCCATAATCGAATGTTATATCGATGAACCAAAAAAACTCGCTTATATCTATAGTAGAAAACTTGAAAAGTATAAAAAGAGATAGGGAAATGGCAATAACAAGCTAACACCAGATGTTCTGAGATTGAACCAAAGAATTATACTCGAACATATGGTATTAGCTTGTTATTGCCATTTTCCCATCTCTTTTTATTTGAATATTCAACGAGCTTTAAACATATAATTGAAAAGTATACATAATATTTTGGGAAAATCATTCACAGAATTATTTTACATATCTTTGTTTCGCAAAACAGTATATTAAATTACATGAGTTGGTCACCAAAGTACTTTGGCATTATATAATATAGTAAATACAGAAAAACTTGCATATCATATATATGTTTTGCAAAATATATTGTGTATTTTACACATTACGCTGAAACTTGCATTAACAAAAGAATCCAGAAAATAATCTCACAAATACATAGATTAATGCAAATAACAATAAAACTCACATTTACAAGCTTACAAAATTTATATCATTATTTTGCTCTTATCTTAGTAAATATATGTAATAATATGATTGTTTTGTGTTTATATACGCGCATCTATCTATTAAATCATGTAGCGTTGTCGAGATAATACCATTGCACTCGTCATTTTTGCTACCAATAAATATTACAGTAGTAAAAAAATTATAATAAAAATTGATAAAGATGTTAATCAAATGAGAAATGTGTGTGTGTGTATTTAAGACGAGTGTTTTAATTTATCAGTTGCTTCGCTGTGTAAAAGTAACATTTGCGCATGATATAATTTAATTATTTGATTTATCAATAATCGATTAATTAAAACATTCGCCTATATGTAATTAAACATTCTTCTATTCTTTTGGATTATTTTCTTTACACACCTGAACTGATATTTATTATGACTTTTGTAGTTTTCTCTCTTTCTTTCCATAGTTTTTCTTTTTGTATTAATCTTAATTTAGAATAAAAGACATACACCCAAGTTAAAATTTTAGGAATTCTCCATCATAGATATATTAAAAGATAATATCTAACATATGTTAAAGAAATGAGACATTTGCGTTACAGTAGTAATTATTTGCGTACACAATCTTCATATCAATAAAATGCAAAGCTCTGCATTGTACTAATTATCCGTTTCTTCTACGTCTTCGACGTGTTCTTCTTCAATGATCATAACAGATTCTTGATTCTCATCTATACTATGATCAATGCATTGTTCCTCATCATATTCTACTATCTCTGTTTGTTCCTCAACGTACTGTATCACTTCCTGTACTTGATTATCAGCACTATCGTCAATCACTGTGTTCTGTGGTACTTTCTGTACCACCTCTTCCTCTTCCTCCTCCTCTATAAGCTCTTCTTCAACTTCTTCGACCACTTCTTCCACTACTTCTTCTGCTTCTTGTGTGACCTGGGTGGACTGATAATTCTCGTAAGATCGATGATCGGTCTGTTCAGCGCCGTGTATGTACACAATCATTCCATCGTCTGTGCCTTGCATAACTATCTGCTCGTTATCAGCAATATCCAGCTGTTGTGGTTGCTGATGATGCTCGTTTTCAGTTTGACGATATTTGCCATCGGTATCAACTAACATTATCATATGCTGACCTTCCACTTCGCTGTAACTGCATGTATTATCCATCATTTCTATTTCCATATCCGGCACGACGTATTGATTATCCGTAGATTTTACTGTCGTTATTCTATCCTGTGTTTCCGAAGCACTTTCTTCAACTTCAACGCCAAGTGAAGCAGCTATTCCACTGACAACGTGACTTAAAGCTTCTGCTTCCGATGACGGTTCCAACGGAATAGATGGTACAGGTGACGCAGACTCTACAGCAGCATCTCTCTGCAGCTCTTTATGCACGCAATCCAAATGTATCTGCAAATTTGTTAAACGTACGAAATGTTTACCGCAATACGAGCAACGATGACCTTTCGTTTCCTTGCCATCTGTCGCATTTCCGTGCCCGGTGTTCAATTCGTGAGTGGTGAGCTCAGTAATGCTTCTGAATGACTCATTACACTGACTGCACTGAATTTCCTCAGAAGGGAACGGGTGTTGTCGGGAAGCTGGCCGATGCTTGTAATTTATCTGGTGACGTACGAGCAGATTCTCTGACAAAGCAACATAAGAGCAGGCATGGCACTTCGGGAAATGCATACTCTTAGGTGGTGGCACATTGTGCTTAGTATAAAGATGATACATCAGAAGATTACGTTTGCTCGCCTTATAGCCACAATGCTCGCAGACCCTCGGATCAAATTTTTCTTCGTGCACATCTTGCATATGCCTCCTGTACATATAATAATTTGTGTATTCCTCGTCCAAGTCACACTTGTTACACTTCCAAGGACCTTTCTCGCCATCGATATTACCGTTACACTTTGAATCGTTATCGTCGTTATTACTGGATAACAAATGATCAGATTTCAGAACTACGTAGGATACTTTTGTTTTGCCGTTACTGTCAGACGACTTTGCTTCTTTCTGCATGATTTTCAAACGAATATTATTCTTGTTCTTTACTAAATGAGGATATTTCTTCAATACTTCTTTTATAATCTTTGCATGATTGCTGATCGAATCTTCAGTGCTTTGCTGCTGATTGGACTTGGATTTTTCTACATTTTCCTTCTCCTCCAAATCAAAACGCACTCTCTTGGGTTGATCATCTTGAGATCTATGGAAATTCTTTGATATACTCCAATCATCGTCCGAATTTGTATCTCTTAGACTCTTCTCATTTCCTTGACCTTCCTCCTCCTCGTCCTCAGTTGTATCATTTTTATTATCATCTTCTAACGAGCGTTTACCAGAGGAATTCTCTTTCTTATATTTGTCAGATGCTTGAACAATAGGTTTTGTATCATATGTAATATCGTCAAAAGAGGAAAATATTCCTAGAGCAATATCATCTGCTTCTGGAAGGTCAAATCTGGATGGACCAGGAGTTATCTCCTCTGGCTTATGTATTAATGTACCAAATGATTTTGCTTCGTAATTTACCGATGGGGCATCATCCAGCTTTCTTTTCCAAATGGGAAGCCTTTAGTAATAATAATAATAAATTATTTATTATTATATTATTATATAAACACTTTCGAACGTTTGGTCTTGAAACATAACGCCATGTGATACATACTTTTTACCTGGTAACGGCTGTTCAGGTAATGTAGATGTTGAACTAATGGAACTGGTAAGTGGTTTTGGAGCTGAAATTGAAGGTTTTGATACAGCTACAGCTGGTTGTACAGGAGGTTTAGCTGCATCGGTGTGTGAACTGCTGGTATTAAATTGAGCGTCAAGTAATTTTGTCAGTACTGCCATATTCATCTTTTGTGCAGTACGATACAAAGACTGTTGTTCCAATGTCCAATACTCCAATTGTCCAGTGTACATAAAACTATATTAATTATATTAATTACAATATATACATAATAATAATAGATTGATTTTTCAAGAAAGAATAATACACACACATACCTAATAATAGACTTAACACATTCATAAGGCATATCTGAAGGCATAGTAATTATACCATCAAAGTCTTCATTTCCTTTTTGCTGCTGTTCCAGTTGCATAAAGTAATCTGTACATGTTGTCAATACAAGCCGATGAGCCTAAAACAATTTTTATTACTGCATGTGAATAAATCTGAAAAATATAGATTGTTTTAAATTACTTTTTTTAAATATTATGTATTTATTGCAATCTCTCTCTCTCTCTCATTGTTTTTATAATAAAATTATCTAAATATTTTATTTTAAATGTTTTGCTTTAGTATTTTTTTTCTAATTTATTTTTTTATAAATTTGAATAATAACAGAAAAATAAATTTTCACCCTTTTTTGAATAAAAGTTTGGGAAGTAAAAATTATTGCTCGGCACAAGAGTTATTGATAAAATAAAAATAGCAACATTTTGTTATATTATGTAATATCAAGATTTTACTAAACGAGAAGATAATACGCAAACGGAGTAAATATGTATATAGAGCCACTCTCTTTGCTTCCTACCCGCATGCTTATGTACAATTGTCAATGTAATTGTCTTGTTGAAAATAAAAGACAATGTAAAATTTTATTTTACATGCAAAGTCTCTTTCTAAGCGTATGTTTATTCAACGCATGCGGAAATCTCTGTCGCACATGCTCAGATCACGTTCCGTCAATTTAATATTTCTTAACCTCAAAATATATCGCTTTAAACTTTTAACATTTTATTCTTTTCCTAAGTGTCAAATGATAATTTTTATACATAGCTAGTTTTCTTTTGTATTTAAAAAAGAATCAAGTAAACCTAATTTTTTATCAAAATTCAAGAAGAGGACAGTAAACATTTATTATTAATTATATTTTATACTATGTATTATTATAAATTATTCTTTATTATTTATTAATCATAAATTGTTACTTAGTAGTTTTTACCTGTACAATAATATTACTTGTAGGAAATTTAATTTTTAGATCAAGAAGTTGTTCTTCTGCGTATAATTGCTGGAGTCGTTGAAGGAAAAATATTCCCCAATTGTCAACTTTTACTTGTTTTAATCCTTGTGAAGGAAGTGATTTCTCCTGATGCACTTCGGACTCCATTGCGAAGAATATTCCATAAAACTATCTCAATATCTGTTTTTGTGTACAAAAATTTTAGCACATATAAATATATTACATATACCTCTATATTTTTATAGAAAATAAACAAGTTATATATGAATAAACAAAAAATAAACCTTAGTATTACTTTACTATTTGTATGTAAGATTTTAGATATCTAAATGAAAAAAAATTACATATTTCACTTGGTTTTTAATTATACTTTAAAATATGAAGTAATTAATTGTGTTTTATACATGTATAACATTTTATACATATAACAGAAATCAAACTTATCCAATTGCATGTACATAATTATTCAATTTTCTATTTATATACTTCTCAAATATATATATGTATATTTACACATAAACACGTATATGTATATATGTCCAAACACATATATGTGTATATATGCTTTAAAACAGTGTGTATCTCTAATTGTGGCACACTAAACTTTTATTTCTTTAGTTCCAGTTAATTATAAACGTTTTATCTAGTGTTACATATAATATGAAACATCAACCTCGTTTTATTCCTATATACCTCTCTTTCTCTCTTCGATCATATGTATGTTACAATTCTCATATTCCAATATACTAATACAAAATAGTACATGTAGTATGGCGCGCTCCGTACAGTGGCAAGATGTGTATAAGAAAGTATAAAAAGATAATAAACTTGTACGTTAGCTCTTATCTGTCATGTGAAAAACCCAGTTTTGTGAAAACAGAATGAATCATTTAAGCGAGATGGTCGAGAAAGAAAACAAGTGTACAAACATTTTATTTCAGAGACGACATCAATCACGAAGATACATTTTGTAACGACAAGAAGGCGCTGATCGTGTACGCGTCTTCCATGAATCGTAGGCAGTGAACTAGCTTTCTCTCTCAGGCCAAGCCCAATTTTCTGACTGGCCTACTTCAACAAGTATAAACGCAACTCGAAAATACTATTATGCTTGTAATTTCACATACCTATTCCACAGATTCTCAATATATTTCTCGTTCAGCACCATCTCTTACGAATTTTCTCAGTATACAATCAACAGCAAGCATTTCATTGTACACCGTGACTCACAGATGGAGTTATTTGCGTTTAGTCGATCTTTCACTATTAAAAAGGCTTTATCGCATTGATGCGCGGCGACGTGTGACGTCAGTTCCGCTACGCAAAAGGCTGCGTTCCGATAGTCACCGTCGATACTAAACATCTATACTTCCACGTCACACGTGCTATAGATTTCCAGTACTGGCGGTGAATTTTTTGCAACATAGCCTTGATCTATGTACATACGTTGGGTGCGTTCAGACAACTTAACAGTTGCACAACAGTTGAGAGATAATCACTTCTGATTGGATCATACTTTTGGAACCGCGGCAGAGTTTGAAGAATAGTCCTATCATAAGTGATGATCTCTCAACCGTTGAGTTGTCTGAACGCACCCGTTATTGCAACAAAAAGCCGAATTCGCAATGGCGACGCCTTAAAGTTCTTAAACTTTCGGAAACGCAAAACTTATATTTTGGAATTCCTCTAAGTGATATTCTCCTGTGTTCGTGTTAAGATTATATCAATAAGAAAGAGAAAGTAGCTATAAAATTTTGCTCAAGTCTACAAATGACATTATTGAAGCAAAATTAACTTCGACATTTAAATAACATCTTAAAATATTCTTAGTATTGAATAATTAAGAATAATTATACTTATTGAGAATTATAATTCTTTTTATACAAAACACGTTATATAAACACATATTGTAAACATATTATTAAATGGTTAAAATTCGCGCTTACATTTTGGATAGATTTCTGATTGGTCGTGTCGCCATTATGTGTACAATTAATTTATCTTACACACCATGTGATAAATCAAACCACTGATAAGGCATAGATATGTGGTAGCGGTAGCGATTGTGTGCGCCGCAGATCGCCGCACTGTGGCCGCATGTTGCTAGTCATCGTTCTGCACATTCGTGAAATTCTGACTCCGGATCGCATTCTCCACAGGTGCCAGTCAGGCGGAGCTTTGTAAACAACATTTGTGCGCGTGACCTTTGCATAGGCAAAACGAATAATAAGTAAGTGCGGAATTTCGCGCACCTCCTGTAATATCATGTAGCGCCTTTATAACAAATAATAAATATAAGCGAGTCATATTGTTGATTCACGTAGTACCATTGCAAAGATTTCCAAATATGATATCTATAACATACTATACACACTCATTCAAATTTCATTTATCTCGTAGTTTTATAATTTTGGGACATGTGTACTTTTCTTTTTATTGCACTCTAGAGCTTAAAAAAATATAAAATTTTTAGATAAAAATGCTTGTAGTCATTTTTTTCATTGTCTTATTGTATATTAGTTTTTATATTATTATATACAATTTTTTTGTTTTATTTTAATATAACTATGTACAATTATTGAAAGCTATATAATTACAATTTTTTTCCCAAAAAACACTATATTATATAAATAATAAGATATACAAATTATATAATCTTGAAAACATTATTAACATTATTAATTGATCTTTTGAAGAGAACATTTTGAATACAGAACATTATTAACAAACAACATGATCTTATAGTAGCATTTTTCCAAAGTCTTATCGATTTCTGATAATTGATTTGCATGCGTCAAACGTTTCTGATAACACGGTAAATGCAAATTCATATCATGTGTCGTCTACATGAAACATACATACGTGGTCATTACTTATACTTTCTTTATTGTAATTTTACAACTCACGATAATGACAAGACAATTTTCCATAAAATTAGTAGATTTTTATATTGTATATAAAAATTTTTATAATTGTTCTCAACATGTAGAAGTTTCTTTTCAGTTTGAAAAAATATTGGAAAACTATAACGTAAACTATTTATAAAATTTTAAAGTTATATCTTTTATAAATGTTTTAATCATTTACTTTAGTATAGATATAAATTAATAATAAAAAATTAATGTTTATATAAATTTTTATATAAAATTTATATTTTATTTGTAATGTAAATTTATAAATTATGTTTAATAAATAGATGTAAATTCTTTGGTAAGTTTATTGTAGTATTGTAGTTATGTTTGGCAATTCTAATATTCAGCTGTCTTTTTGTTTAACATAAAAAACATGATGAATAGTTAAAACTTGTAAACAACATTGATAGTAGATAGTGCTATTATTGTTTAGTTTTGTCAGTAGCCTCACATGTTCTATACGAAGACCACAGAAGAAGAACTTGATAAATCACATTTTCGTAATTTTAAAGAAGAGCGATTTTAAAGTTCGAAACGTACCTGTATTTCTTTGTATACGTTTTATAAAAATGCTTATATCTCAGAATCTATTAAAAAATTCTCCCTCTTGCTTTGCATAATTCAAATACTTGATTTTAACTATCAAATAACATCAAAAACAGAAAATCGAAAAAATGGACTTATCAAGTTCTTCTTCTGTGGCCCTCATATGGTTTTGTTTTTCGTCTTGATTTTACATTTGAGAATCACATTTTATTAAATTTTTAATATTATAGTAATTTATATATAAATGTAAACACAACTTTTTAACAAATTATAGCTCTTACAATAACTAATATGAAAAATAAATGTTGAAAAAAAGAGTGCATAAATATGTTAAAGCTTACTCATGGAGAACTATACATCAGACTCCAGCGATTCAGACTCTAATTTGAGAACGTTGGATCTGTCCTACCTGCTGTTGGAGAAGGATGTGCTTGATGAACAGTTTTTCAATACCAAGTGTCCAGAGCAAGTTGACACTCTGTTACTGGCTCACAATTATCTCACAACTCTTCCTGCCAATATCAGCAGATTTACCAACCTGATTTCTCTAGATATTTCGAATTGTGGTCTCATAAGATTGCCAGATTTCTGGACAGATTGCCCTTTAACTTGTTTGATTGCAAAACATAATAACTTGGGCAATGATGGATTGGCCAAGAGTTTTGAAAATCTAACTAATTTGAGGGAACTGAATCTGAGTGGCAATAGGCTCACAGAGTTTCCCGATCAAGTACTCGACCTAGTTGCTTTAAAATATCTATATCTCGGTGGTAATCATATCAGTGAGATTACTAAAGACATTTGGAAGCTGCAAAGGTAACAATAAAACTTAAATAAAATAATAACTATATAAAAACGTCTAGGTTTTCTTAATAAAACGTACTTAAATATTTATTCATATGGAAAAGATGAGAGAAAAAGTTTTATATTTTACAAAATTAAAATTATATTTATTATATTTATTACAGCTGGAAATGTATGAAAATCTAAATTAAAATCTTTTCCTGACACTTTAATAACAGATATATTATGTGTATGTGTATAATTTATCACTGGGAAAGAGAGAAATGTAAATTGTATAAATATATAAGTTACTTTCTTATACATGTTAAATAAATTAACTATTTTTCTATCAATATGATTACTATGATTTGTTAAAGGTTGAGAGTTTTAGCCATGGGAGATAACAGATTAACAGAAGTGCCATCCACTCTCGGTCAATTAAAAACCTTGCAAGCTCTTGTACTTTGTGACAACATGCTAGAGGGTCTACCAAGCTCAATAGCGAATTTAACCAACTTGAAGACTCTGTCACTTCACAAAAACCGACTACGGACATTGCCTACTGAGATAATAAAATTGAAATGTCTGACAGAGGTTGGTTGCAAGCAATAATCTTGTTATCATATTATAATTTTTTGTCTAAACATTATTTACCGTAATCACAAAACTATTTGAAGATGTATACAACAATAAATCAAAAACACAAGCAACACAAATTGTGTTCATTTGAATTATCTTTAACAAACTAATTTGCCAATGATGAAAATTATGAAAATTTAAAAGTATTTAAAAACGATATCTCATAGAAAATCTTTTATTTGAAGTCACACTTTTGAGAGATATCTTCTATATGAAAGATCGAAATATCTAACATTTTGTTTACAACAAAGTGTTTTTACTGTAAGCTTTATAATACTATATATTGAGTAATGAGAAAATTAAATACATTTGTTTGTTTGCCTATTGCAGTTATCTTTGCGAGATAATCCGTTGGTAGTAAGATTTGTATCGGATATGACGCATAATCCACCCTCTTTGTTGGAGCTGGCAGCGCGTGTTGTCAAAACTAGTGACATTCGATACGACGATGAAAGCATACCGCGCAACCTAGTACAGTACCTCAATAGTGCGCATCATTGTGTCAATCCCAAATGTAAAGGTTAGTATTCGATTAGTTAATTAATCGCTGACAACCTGTGAAAGAATATATAATAAAATCCTAGCTCAATATTAATTTAAGTATTTTTTATTATATTTTATTTCTATTCTATATTATACATTATTTATTATTTGTAAAACGGAGTGCTGGAAATTTATGTAAGAGAATTTACTTTTTATATAGGTGTTTTCTTCAATAATCGCGTAGAGCATATCAAATTTGTTGATTTCTGCGGTAAATATCGCTTACCCTTATTGCAATACTTGTGTAGCAGCAAGTGCATCGAGCCACGTGATAGCGATGAGGAGCTCGTGAGTGGTGCCATGATCAGGAAGGTTCTTTTAGGCTGATAAAGTCTTGAAAATACTTCTAATACTAACCATTACAGAATCTCTACAGGAATTTATGTCTAACAACATTTATAACACATATATATTGTAACATATGTGTTTTCTCTTCTCTTAAAGAAAACATACGTGTATATAATATAATAAGCGAAAATATAAATGCCTTTTGTGACAAATTACAACAAATATTAACCCTTCGCGGACAGACTTCAAAAATGATTTACAAGTCAGACAGACTGGATCTGTGAAACTCACGCAACTTTAAAATCGAATATCTCCGCGAAAAATCAATATTTTTTCAATTTTGTCTTTTTGAATCAAAAGTTTGAGCGATTCTTCGTCGATAAAAAACAAATTGAAAAAATCTCTAGTAATTTCGAAAATATAATAAGTGTTTAAAAAATCTAATTTTTACTAGAAATATTGATGCGCAATTTTTGAATCTAAAAGACTCATGTCTATCCGCGAAGGGTTAAGATAAGCAAGTTTTTTTCCAATTTGATTTTTATTCCCTGTTATTATATTTTTTTTCTACTATTAGAACGTTGAGAAATAAGTAAATTCAAATCGATTTTAAAAATATCAATAGTAAGCACGTGTGTATAACGCTTGTATGCGATCAAAACGGCTGTGGTATGTATGACCCAAAGTTCAGTAATGACACTGCACATGATGAAAGACTATTATGTGAGAAACATACTGAACTTTGGTTGGGTCATACTGTACCATATCCAACGTATCTCGTTTCTACTTCTATGTACTCTCCTATTGTGTTAAATACAAGACTTTATTTTGTTAAACAATTGTTCAATCACCAGAACTCAGTCGCTCCTTTTTCAACATATTTTAATATATATGTGTGTGAAATATATACATATATTTTTACGTATTTATTTAAAATAACTATATTGAGTAAGTGTTCTGTAAAAAAAAAAAGAGAATCAAGGCAGCGATAGTTAACATTATTGTTAATATTTTATTGTTAAATAAACCACAAAAATGTACAGTAATAATATTATTATATAGGGTGACTCCGCCATAATGGCAGGATGGTCTCACGCGATGTGTATTTTCGCTTAAACACATCCAGAATAGAATTATGCTACAAAGTATTTATCATTCTCGTTGCGACTAATGCGTTTTTGTCGTGTTTGGTAAAATTAAAAATAACACATCTGAGAGAGAGAAAAGATAAAACGCAGAGGAGAAGTAGCGACATGAGAACGATACGTAGGTGGATGGGTGTGTGTGTGTGTGTGGTATTATATTATATATTTATAATTATATATATATATATATATATTTATTTATATAGAACATCACATAATTATATATATGTATACATTTATATATATGTACACACACATATATATGTATATATGTACACATATATCTATTATGTATGCATGCATGTCTTGTATGTACGTACATATATAAATATACATATATATATATGCATTATTGTAAACATGGTAATCATATAATAAGTCTAACTATTCCTTTTTTCTTTACTTTTGCTTACCATAATACACCGCGTAATTGTATAATTAATAATCTATACATATACATTCACATATATATATATTTATATATATGCGCACTGTATTTATATATTACATACATATATATGTATGTACATGCTTCCTTCTCGCTCTTCTTCTCTCTTTTTTCTCTCAAATGCACTTTTATTTTCACACACACACACATACGTGCGCACTTAACATTGTTCTCATACCAATTCACGACTTCAAATTAGCGCATTTTTTTTTATCGTATAGGCATAGTAGTAACTAGCACTACTCTGTTTACTTCTTTTTTTCCTTAATCATTTTTTAATTTTATTTTATTTAACTGTGTAGTAAATATTTTTCGTCACTTATATGCTTATGTACGTTTCGCTCTATATGTATATTAAACAATTTCTCCCTAATATCGTACATTCATGAGTGTTTTAAACATTAAGAACTCACTGCGCTTACGATCAGGGTTGGCATCTTGATTTTTCATTTCCCTTGCCCATCTGAGAGTATCGTCGTCGTGTCCATCCCCAACCAGTGCGCGATGTTGTCTGTGTCACTTCTGCTACTTTTGTCTATTCGCCATCTACCACTTGTTGCTCCTGATGACTTTCCTGCTCCTTTGTCTCCTTGGCATCTTTATCCTCATCTAAAATGCGATATTGATAGGTGTAAAAAAAAAAGAACAGTAATAAATATTACTTTATTAGCTTTTTTCGAATACTTATATATTTCTCACCTAGCATAAATACGAAACATTATATAATATGGTTGCTTTAAATGTCAAAATGTGCAATAGCTTCTATGTGCATAACTTTTATTTATTTCTATAAATTATTTTATTTATTTTCTTATGTTCTGTGGATATGAATATTTGAAACAAGTGTTTTATTCTCACTTGTCGGTTGAAACGCTCTTCAATAATTTTCTTTGAATAAATGAATATTATTTATTTGTATGTTCTTAGAAAATGTAGAAAAGAGGTGACTCCGTCATCAAATATAATATCAAACACAAACAAACAAACAAACAAACACACACACACACACGCACGCACGCACGCACGCACACGCACAGAGTTTCGAGATTTGTTCAAATTAGACGCTAATCAAGTATTTGAATAAATATCCGAATAGCGGATAATTGTGAGATACCTAAAATTTGATTATTCCAAATATCAGAACAACAAGAATATCAAATCTAGATCCACATTGAATCCAGATCTGAATTAAATATAATAACTATGTGTTGTGTGTGAATAACTATAATTATAATGTAATATACATGTATATAAAACACAGTTATTTAAAAAAATCACATGTTTTTATATTATATGATAAAGTTTACTTAATTACAATTGCAACAATTTTAATATGCTCAGACATACATTGTTACTCGATGTTCCAGCTTCCTCTTGTAAATTTTATACTTATTTGTGACATGTTGTGCTAAGACTGTTCAAAATATTTACTTTTTGCCTGGTTAGCGCATTTACTAATCGAAATATCTTATATGGCTTAAGAAAAAACCATTGCACTACGGAAATACATAAACTTAATTTTACTTTTGCAAAAATAAAAGTAATTAAATATTCATAGTTTAAATAAAAAAATTCTGTTTAGTTTTAAAGTTTGTGGCACATGATACTTTTTTCATCATGCTTTTATATGCACGACGGCGATTTTGGCAATTCTTTAAATTTATAAATTGCGATTAATCGATTCTGATGTTCGTGCGCGCGTGATCGTATGCCGCAGACTTTAAAGCAATATTTTTAGACTGTATACGCTCGCTCGCTCGCTCTCTCTCTCTCTCTCTCTCTTTTTTTCTTTCTTTCTTTCTCTTCTATCTTTCATACTTTATAGCTAAAATCTGTTCTATCAAACATGAGTTTTAATTTTATGTAAAAAATTATTTCTCAAGATATATGTATTTGTTTTCTACCGCCATATCCGATATGGCTATGATAAGTTTCTTGCTTTAATCTTGAATTGTACACTAAGTATTCAATTTTAACTTTATTCTGATAATATATTCACAAATCAAATTTATTGAAACACATTTTGGAAGAATATTTTATAGCTTACGTAATTAATTGTATGGTTTAACTATTTCATACGCGTTAAGAATAAAATTAATTAGTCGGATGTCATAAAATATATCTGTAAACGTCGACACATTAAAGATTGATAAAAAATTTAGTGTCTTGAAGATAGTACGATATTTTTCGTTGGAAAATAATATTTTTATATTTTACATGTATGTTTTATAGAGTAAAAACATATAAAATAATTTTAGTAAATGCTTCTACTGTAATATATATAATTAGTATTGCAGCATACAATGTGCTACAATTTTTTTTATGTAATCATTTTTATCAAAAGATAATTAGTTAAAATACATGACAATCACTATGTGGTCATACAACCTAATCTTAGTTTAATATTCTTCACTGGCATCAAAAAAAGGAACAAAAGAGGAAAAAATAAAACTCAACAATAAAAACAGATCAGACAATATTCGACTAATGCTGAGGTCATATCAAGCACTACATACACTACGATGTATTTTCTATGGAAGTAAAAAGAGAACAAATATCATCTCTTGCTCCAATCATCATCCTCTTGCTCCAATAGAAAACATAGCGTATGTAGAGCTTGATGTGGCTTGAGCATAAAAGCTTGAGTTTGTGTTTTGTGTATTGCTAGTGTTGATGATAGTGTTTTATTTATTTTTATTTAGATTAGTGGACACTATTATCATTAGAAGTTACCACTAGCGCTAGCGGCGGCGCCCGTAGCGTCTGATTGGCCGCCACCCCCGCCTCCGGGATTTCCCTCCGTACCGGTGGTGGAAGTGGTCGATTGCATATATTTAGGTATCAGCATACTGTTGAGGACCGGTTGAATTCGCAATTCATGCTCAGTGAAGTTGAAAAGTGGCGGCAGTTCGCGACCACTCGGTAGCCGCGTGCCTTGCTCACGCAGCTCGTTAAAGAAGGAATGCGCGCATGCTTGTAACGGCGTCATTCGAAGCGACGGTGTGTACTCCAGTAATCGTGCCACTAATTCCATTGCTTCTGGAGGTGTGCGCGCCCTGAATACCTGCAATTATCATCAAACCTGTGATAAAGTTTGTTTAACGCTTAGCACATCGTTTAAACCTATTTGACAATAATAGATGAAATAAACGAGACAAATTTCGTACAATAATCATTCTATATACATATTTCTGTAAGATGTAGAAAAAAATCTTAAGTATATGTTGTTGTTTTTTCAGTTTGTAACATAATTTATTTATAATCGAGACGATTAAATTTATGAATTTTGCTGAATAGCAAAAATAAGTAAGTAGTACTAGTGATGCAAAAATCTTGTAAACTATTAGCAGATAATATACTTTATTAAGTTTTAAAACATATTAAACGATATGTATATATATAATTATACATATAAAACACAAAAATTTTATTTTAAAACAA